ACGAAAGCCCAAACCCGCCCCAGCTAAACGAGCACCTTCATCCTCCTCTGACAGCGACAGGTCAGGCTGCTCTACAGATTTTTTTCCCCCTGTATGTACACCACTGTTGTAATAGGCAGCATAATGATTGCTCTGTTTTTGTCACAGTGACAGTGAAACCGACCGCATCAGTGAATGGAAGAAACGAGACGAAGAACGCAGACGAGAGCTGGAGGAGCGCCGGAAAAAGGAGGAGGCAGAGGAGCTCCGCAGGTTACGTGAGAGAGAGAAGGAGGAAGAGGAGCAAAAGAAAAAAGAGAAAGACAAGGGCAAAAAAGGGAGTGACAGTGACAGCAGCAGCAGCTCAGACGAAGGTGTGGATGATCATCCGCTGAAGAAGTCCAAGAAACCCCCTCCACCCCCGATCCCTGCGCCCTCCGACTCTGATTCTCCACCTCCAACTGAGGTACAGCCACTCACTTAAAAAAATCTATGTGTTACATTTTGCTTTAGTCAAAGTAAAATGACTGCAGGTGCCACTGACACGTGACTTCTTGTGCTTTCCCCATCGACAGGCGAAGAAGCCATCCAAGAAGCCCGACAACCAGAAGAAGGCACGAATAAAGAAGGAGAAGGAGAGAAAAGAAAGGAAGGAGAAAGAGCTAAAGGAGAAGAAAGCCAGACGGTCAGAAGAGAAGTCTAGAGCGAGGTGAGCGCATAATAGGGAACGGACTACGGTATGCAAACCTCATTAGAGGAACCTCGTTAAAATTTAATGTACACAGATCACAGAGTTCCCTCTCTCCCTCTGTCTCAGGTCTAAACCTGAAAAACCCAAACGCAAACCAGAGAGGCCGCCAGAGAAGAAAGTGGAAAAGAAAAAGGGTCAGTGTCTCATACAGTTGTACTCAGTTTGTTCACTGCAGTTGCCCGTTGAAAACATATTCATAGACATAACAAGTAGACATATACACAATTCAGTACAGAATATTGACTCTTACTTGATATGTCCATACGCAGAGGCATCGCCAGAAGAAAAGCTACAGAAACTCCACACTGATATAAAATTTGCACTCAAAGTGGACAACCCTGTAAGTTGCATGTATGATTCTGACTAAATCCCATCTTTCTGTGTTTTCATGCCAGCATGAAAACTGAATTTCTGTGTGTTTGTGTGTTCTCAGGACATTGACCGGTGTCTACAAGCCCTGGATGAACTTGCAGCCGTGCCTGTCACCAGCCAGATCCTACATAAGAACGCTGAAGTTATTGCCACACTAAAAAAGGTGCATTTTCTTGTTCATTGTTTGACTGTCCTTAATTTTTTCTGTTTGATAACCCACAGTTAAAATAAATACATGGTATTGTGTCCTAATTCAAACTATAATGCATTTTTTTTCTTGCTATGTATACTGTATTAGTCAGAATATAACACAGTGCTATTTTCTGAAAATTACACTTGAAATAGTGGGGTCTTTGATGTTAACAGTTACCAGCTGTCAGGCCAGCTGTGGCTCAGGAGGTAGTGCGGGTCTTCCACTAATTGGAAGATCAGCAGTTCAATCCCAGGCTCCTCTAATCAGCATGTTGAAGTGTCCTTGGGCAAGATACTTAGCCCCACATTGCTCCCAATGGCTGTGCCATCAGTGTGTGAGTGCTTGTGAATGTTTAACTGGGTAACAGGTGGCAGGAGGTAGGCAGCCTTGGCCACAGGTGTATGAAAGTGTGTGTGTGAATGGGTGAATGTGACGAGTAGTGTAACAGCGCTTTGATTGGTCGGAAGACTAGACAGACACTATACAAGTGCATGTCCCTCGACTATTTGCTTGTGTTAATGATTGTTGGATAATAGAGTAATCGACTGATAAATGTTGCTTCTCTTTGAGATGATAAAATGTAAGTAGAAATATCTACTCGATTCCATATAAAATATGGTTATTTACCTCTCCCGTTCTATTCATATGCTTTATTTATTCACTCATTGTCATTTACAAGATATCAAATATGGTATATTAGCCTGCCTTGTTTTGTTGCCTCATAATCAGGGTTGTCAGGGCAGCACTGTATTTTTCTCATTTAAATTATCTTCTCTATCTGCAACCTGTTCCATGGGTGTAGATTCGGCGGTATAAAGCCAGCACTGCAGTCATGGAAAAAGCCAGTGAGGTCTACAACAAGTTAAAACTTCGCTTCGTGGGAAAGCATGAGGTGCCAGCTAAACCTCAATCACAGGACAAGGAACCAGAAGTTAATGAGAAGGAGACAGAAAACACAGGTAAAAACTTCCACCTTGGATCTGGCCTTTTTCTGGGTTTGATATTACCTAAATTGTACTTGTGTTCTTGTTTTAATCTAAATTTGCTTTTTCTAGACTCCACTCCAGTGAATGGGGAATCAGAACAGAAAAAAGATGATATGGAGGTAGATGAAAATCCAAAATCGCCTGCCCATGAGGAGAATAATGATGATAACGCTTCAAGTCCAATCAGGTGAACATACCATGTGAAGCAGTGTACAGTGTCTTTGCTTGACTTGAAGTTGGCATGGACAACTAACAGGATATGAAAGCATATCTTTTCTCGGGGACAGTGAAAAAGACAGGAAATGTCTGTGGAAAAATGCCATATTTAAGTTTAAGCAGAACAATTTTACATCTTCACAGCACTTGTGTAGAAGTGGGACCTGTTTGCTAACCATTATGAAGCTTATGTGAGCATCGTCTGTTTAAAGGGTCTGTTTAAAGGGACATCACTTCGAAACTAAAAATACATATTATTCCACTTACCTGTAGTGCCGTTTATCAATCTATATTGTTTGGTGTGAGTTGCTGAGTGTTGGAGATATCAGCCGTAGAAATTTCTGTCTTCTCTCTAGTATTATGGAACCAGATGTTACTTGGCTTGTTGTGCGCAGAACACCAAAGAAATTTGTTCTAAAAACTCAGCAGCAGTGAGCAGTTTCATGTAGGATCTGTTTCTGTTGAACTACACCCGCTGACAGTATCATTGTGCAGAATGAAGCGTGCATCTACTCATGGACTAGAGGCTTGTGCTCGTGACAGTGCGAGATGTAGACTTAATGGCATCCACCTCTGCTGAGCCGTAACGTTAGCTAGCTTGGTGGTGCTAGGTGAGTTAGCAGAAGATGCACACTTCTTCTACGCGGTGATACTGTTGGCTGGTGTAGTTTGGAAGAATGATACAAGATCTGTGGATTATCTTGAGAAACCAGGTCATGAACTCTGGAAAGAGACATCGCTGTTGAGGTTTTCAAGTGTGTATTTTGGCACTTTGAGCACCACAAACCGAGTGCCATCTAGCTCCATTATATTTGAGAGAAGGCAGACATCTCTACGGCTGATATCTGCACACTCTGCAACTCACACCAAAATAATCTAGGCTGAAAAATAGCACTACAGATTAAAGGAAATATATACATTTTTGATTTTGGGGTTAACTGTCCCTTTAACATGTACAATCATGGTTGAAGCAGCTGTGTAACTGATGCTGTACTTTCTGTTTAGACGGAGCCCAGACAGCCCTGCTGAACAAGAGCTTCACACATACGAAGATGCAGACAACTCCCTCTCTGCAGAGACTGAACCACCTGCTGTGGAAAGCTGAGAGACCCTTAACCACCACTGCAGTGGACCAAGTGCTAAAGACGGTGGCCTCTTTGTTTGACGTCATACAGTGCTCCCGACTCGACAACATCGCAACATACATCCAGCATTTCCTACAGTATCTGTTACATCAACATTTTGGACATTTTGTACTATAATGATATCAAACCAGAAGGCCCTGTTTGCTCAAACCATTTGGTCCGTTAATTATCACAGCAAAAAGGAAAGCTTATTAGTGTGGTAGTTTGTGGCGCTGCGCGAACTCCTTTTATTTCTGAAATGTACTTTTTCTTTTATACAACACTTGGCCCGTCCTGGATTTTCACCTGTACTCCTGCTACCGGCTTCTTTGTTCTTTCTACCACATGAACTCTTACTTTCATACCATATGTATATTGAATGATTACATTTTTAGCACTTCTAACCGGAACTTAGGCGGAGGGTAGTTTGAGATGAAATTTCAATAATTCTCTTGGGAAAATGGAGCCATGCCCTTAATTTTTTCGCTTGGAATATTTTGTGCAACCCGTACATCTGTCGGCTTTTTAAAAAGCCTAAAAAAAACATCACAAAGGCCTCTTGTCTGTGTGTATGACGTTGTGGGAGTGGTAAAGTACTATTTGTGAGTCCTTTATGTTAAGTATTTTTTTTTTGTTTTTTATTATCTGGTCCTGATCCAGTTAATCCAGTCTGAAATGTAAAGCCATTAATTAAGTCACTTAAAACTGTTTTACAACTGAGGTCCACCTACTTTTTTATAGCCTTGTTTGCAAATATTTGCATTTACAGTTTTTGTCTAAAATAATAACTGCTGTGGAGTTAAACACCTTGCACTCTCGTCTCCTCCCCCTGTAGTGTCTGCTTTCAGTACCTTGCGTAATAAATGGAATAAATGTACAGATTGAAAACTGCCCTTAAAAGCTATTGAGATCTCATGTAGCTGCCGCCTATTTTGACATTTTCCTGTCACATGCATACAACAGGTGTTTTTAGTGCTATGTAAATTGGTAAAGCATTTCTATCACTTAGTTGAGACTTGAATAAAAATCTCAGCATGGCTTTGTTTCTATGTTATTTCTTGGTTTGTAAAAGTTGCTTTTAATTCATTTGATGTGTTTGATATCAACTTAAGTGTATGAAACAGCCCATTGCTCTTACATGGTCCACTTACTGTAGGCATGTTAAGGGGCTCAGTATCATAAGTTAATATTATGTGGAATTATTGCAGAAATATTCATACTAATAGTGTCTTTTGTAATTTAATAGGTTATTTGTAAGTGTATTGTCATAAAACTGCTTCTCTAAATGGGTGGACTGGACCTTTAAATCCGCCGATTCCCATATGAGAGTCTCGCATAATACTCAAGTCAGCTGACTCAAGACGCCATTTTGTCAGCCATTTCCTACACTGATCCATTGCCAGCGTCTCTGCACAGCACAGGACGCCCCGTCTGGCCTCAGCTTCATCTGCCCGGGCTTGGTAAACAGCAGCGGACCCTGCACGCACGGTACCCGGGTGGATGAGAGACTGTCTAGAGGGTCGGTCGGCACCCACTAGACCCCTGGAAGCTGCTTGGCCCCCGCAGGATAAAAGCGGTACAAGTCACAGGCAGACATGGCTTTGAAGATTGTCAAAGGGAGCATCGATCGGATGTTCGATAAAAATCTTCAGGATTTAGTACGTGGCATTAGGAATCACAAGGAAGATGAGGTAAAACCCCTCCCGACGAGCAAACGCTGTCACCTGGAACATTTTCACCCTCTCATTCATTAATGTTTTCAACTCACTGCCGTAACCGTTATCGTTGACCAGCTAGAGCTAGCTAACGTTAATTGCTAACGCTAGGTAAATTAACGTTAGCGTCCGCTCAGTCATTTCAACCGCTAGCTAACAGTCACTTAACACAGCCGGGTTTAAACGGCTGTTGCTAATTTAACATATGCTAAATAACAGGTTAGTGAATGGTTGTTGGTGCTAACTTTTTTTTAGCAGCGTTACATGTTAGGTTTTAAGCAATAAGGCTACACGAAGAGTTGTTAGTGACAGCTAGCTAACCTAGCTAACTGTCAGTCAGAGGAAGCAGCTCCGTAGATTATCACAATTCACCGGGAGATTACTCTTCGGCATAACGTACATCAAACCATTGAGTGCGGCTAATGTGACCAGTCTAACCATTTGGCAACTGCTGCTAACTTTATTAGTCATTGGTCTTTAGTGACTGAGTCATTTGGGGAGAAGTATCAAGAGGTCTTTAGTGTGTTAATTAAGTTTAGGACACCAGAGTCACTCGACTGTTGAATGGATTATGTGATGCTTTGATTATATGGAGTGTAGAAGAGGCCTAACTTGTTTGTCTTGTTTACATTGAGTTTAAAAATGCACATATGAGCATTTTGGCTCTTGATAGAGAATTAAATCTCATATAAACTCGTAGATTGTGTGGAATAAGAATGCCAGCAGCTCCTTTTGAGCACCCCAACAGTGATTGAAGGTGATGTCATCCCTGTCACATCTCCGTGGGTGATGACAGGCTCATCACAACCTGAGTGGGAGCAGGGTGGGATGGATGGGCCATTAGGGGGCACTGTTTGGGGCAGCCACGTTTCCATCTCTCACACCAGCCTGCTCCTCATACAAGCTCTGTGTGTTGCTGTGTATAACCTTGCTGTGAAAGTGCTATGTCAGGTAGTAGGAGGGGGTGGATGTAAGGCAGGATCCCTGCACAGAGCTGCGGTGCTGTGCACACCTGTCTCAAGCTGTAGGACAGGTGTGAAATGTAGAGGCAGCGTGTCTAACCTGAGGGCAGCTTTAGGATTTCATTGCTTTCTCAACGTGGCAGATTTGTCTTGCTTCCCATCTCAGTTAAAAATCCAATTTTCAACCATCAGACTGGCTTTACACACATTTTGCTTGCATATTATGTCACCTGTATTTATATCTCAATATTTTAAAAAAAAAGTCAAGCACTTAGATAAGCTCTATTGTGCCAGGCTATCAACGCCTGATCTCTTGATTCAGTGTATGGGCTGCCGAGGTGTTCACCTGTTGTAACCCAACCTGGGCAGCCTAGATAAGGTGGTGGTTGCCCAGTCAACAGTGGACAGTTTGCTGAAATATTAATACACTGAGTATGTGTGTGCACGCCTGAGTGTGTGTTGACTTTTTCCTGGCCAGCCCACAGTTTGTTTTTCACGTGTGCTGAGTCTTTGCACGGTTCATTCATTCACTCTCCCTCCCACGCCTTTGGAACAGTAAGCATATTGTATAAAAAGTATTGTGAGGATGTCCTAAGTGAGATTCTGTGAGATTACCACTAAGAATTTTAGGCCTGTGTGTAATTTGCGTCGGCTCTAGTTAGCTCCAGCTGTCATTTTTTCGCTTGGAAACCACAGGCCTCTCAGTTTACCTCCAGCTCAGTCTGCATTGTTGGCTGAAAGATAGTCTTTGTTGGCCCTTTGTCAACTATTTCAGTTATTTCTATGGGTTCTGAATTGGTCATTTAAGACGAGTGTGATGCAGAAGCACCGTGTGTGTCTGGTGATCTCGTTTTGAGTCCCTCCCTGCCTGCCCTCCAGCCCTGCTAGCCACAGTTTCTCCAGAAGCTGCAGCAGAGCTCAGTCCCCGTCCCCCCCCCCCCCCGCCTGTCACTGTGCTGTCTCATGACTGCACACACATGACCAGCACGCACTTGCACTCTCCAGCGCTATATGTGTGTGTGTGTGTGTGTGTGTGTGTTTATTTTGTAAGGTTGCTTCTCTCAACAATGGTTGACTGATTGCTAGGGGTCTAACTGAGCTTGACCCCAGTGCTGAATGAAATGTACCTTCTGCTCTCTATTTTAGGAAACCTAGTGTATTACAGCAGGAGTCAGAAGAACAGCTATTTTTCATTCATTCATTCAGGCGTGAGGCTTTGGCAAACACTCATTTGTTAAAATGCTTTAGAGGATGGGAGAGCTGTTGAGTCGCCTGTTACCTTTACACTTGCATAAAATAACCTGTGTTTAGCAGCCGTGTAATTGGAGTTATACAATTAAATCTTTTGCTCATGGCTAAAATGTTTTGCTGTGTAAGCATGGGCAGTATGTTCCCAGACCTGAGCTCCTGTGTAGTGTGTTTGAGCATGTTTCTAGCTATCAGGCCATAAGCGATGAAAATTTCACAGTGCCTTTTAATGTGTCAGGCTGGTAGAGAAGGAAATGATGTTGGTCTACAAGCCAAACCACATGCCATGTTTCAGCTAAGACCTGAAACTCAAAATTATGGTTGTGGAGCTGTGGGGCATACTCTGACACAATCCATGAATTTTTATAACTCAAGACTTGGCATAACTTTGAACTTAATGTCATTTCCTCATGACATGAGTTTGACTTTACAACATAAAGCCCAGAGTCAAAGAATTTTGGCTGATGCCAGAAGCATATTATTAAACTTTATAAAGTCAAGGATAAAGTTCAGGACTTGCCTGACTTGATTTGACTTAGGACTCGCAAAACAATCATCCAGCTCCACCTCTGCTGGCTGGTGTCTCGGATAGCAGCAACACACAGACCAGGGTTTTTTCAGCTTGTTCCTGGTGCTTGGTAGCAGCCTCCCAATCCGGATATCACTCCACCTAATCTGATCTGGTGTCTGTTGTTTGTCCTCTCCTTTGTCTGCCTTCAGGCCAAGTACATCTCCACATGCATCGACGAGATCAAACAGGAGCTCAAGCAGGACAACATCGCCGTCAAAGCTAATGCCGTGTGCAAGCTCACCTACGTAAGATCTCTCAGCACCCTTTTCAGAATCATTAACTCTGTTAGTCTTTCACTTCTAGGTGATACACAGGCACTGATACACATAATGAATGGCACCATCGTTGCTCTCTACCCTTTGTATCTTTGGAAAGATGCACACAGACCATGTGGCTGCTTAGGGCACAGCTCATTAAATACAATACAGTGTCTCCCTATTCTTATAGCACTATCAGGGAAATCAATTCAATATTTAACATCCAAAATAACACAGAAGATTTGATCATAAGCAATTTATAAGTATCTGTTTTGTAATATGACTCTAAAGCAGGTAAAAAATACACTGAATTTGGTCCAGTTTCATATTCTGCAAGTGTGACCTGTTGTGTTGATGTGCGCACAACGGAAAATTCTGTCTGTTTATGATAACTGCACCAAGCAAACCCCACATGGCCTTGGTTCTTTGTATATTATCTTTTCTATTGAAACAGCATCGTGTTGAATCAAAGCCGATTGTTGTGGCTCAAGGCTTCATCAGTGGCAAATAGGAGTGACCAATTAGAAACCACGTAATACATTTTTATAAAAGTGCTGCAAGACTGCATGTACAAATTTTGTTTTGTAGCTGAAGATCAGTGATTACGCAGCCTAATAGCCAGCAACTGGCACTTATTAAGAACGGTGCACAAATTCTGTTAAAATGAAAGCACCGGTTCTATTTATAGCCGAGGCCCACATTTAGGTTTAGATGGCTTTTTGCAATTGGCGTCTGTGCCCACTTTGAGAGCTTTCAGCCCAAATCATTTAGCCTCTCTGTGCACCACAGAGACAGCTTAGAGCCCCACTCCTCCGTTTTATCACCCACAGGCCTCTCTGTCTCTTTTCTGTGTTACAGCTTCAGATGCTGGGCTATGATGTCAGCTGGGCTGCTTTCAACATCGTTGAAGTCATGAGCTCCTCCAAGTTCACATACAAGGTACGACTGGTATATAATCGGACGTGTTGGAAATGCAGAACCAAGTCACTTTCTGGATTAATGGTCATGACGTTGATATCACTGTGGTGTACGCCCAGGTGTGGATTTGTCAGGAAATTATTCTTGAGTCACAAACTGTCCTTTGCTGTTGCATTCAAGTTAATTTCTCCACATAGATACTCACCCAAAAATAGTACAAGGAATAGTCACACAATGTACGGTGCAGGTAAATCTCCATGGAACTGCTGCAGGTTGATGAGTGTTTGTAATAATAGCATTGCACTGGAATATACAGTGTGTAGTTACACAATTAAAATGCAGCACAGGATGTAATTCTTTCTTCCCACAGAGGATTGGCTACCTGGCGGCCTCACAGTGCTTTCACGAGAGCACCGATGTCATCATGCTGACAACCAATCAGATCCGAAAGGTCAGTGTTGTTCTTCTTCTGCGCGCTCCGTGAATATCTTTTGACTGAAATTTCTCCCTCGGCCAACCTTTCTCTGTCTTGTGGATTATTCATTTCTATTTTTCCTTCTTTTCTCTCCCAGGATCTCAGCAGTCCCAACCAGTATGACACAGGTGTTGCCCTCACTGGCCTCTCTTGTTTTGTGACCCCTGACCTGGCTCGGGACTTAGCCAATGACATCATGACACTGGTGAGTCATGGAGAGTATGTCAAGGGGTTTTTATCTTGTGGCTCCAGTTTATTTTCCTCCACCTGTGTCTTTATTTACCTCAGAACTTAAAAAGAGGTAAAAAGAGTTGTTCTTGTTCTCTAGTTTAATCACAGCTGCCTATCCTGTCTTTATTTCCCCCCTCCCCAGATGTCCCACACTAAACCCTACATCCGAAAGAAGGCAGTGTTGATCATGTACAAGGTGTTTCTGAAGTACCCAGAGTCCCTGCGACCCGCTTTCCCCAGGCTCAAGGAGAAACTGGAGGACCCAGACCCAGGTATCAGGAGAGACACCGCATTCAGACTGTTACGCAGGAAGCTTGTGCTTTGTCACCTGAACCCTATGAAATATTCAGCAGCTTAGAATATGAGATTAAGGAAGGCTCATTTTGCGATACTGCCAGCCTGTCTGGGAATATTCTCCCAGGACTATTTCTGTTGCACAGACAAAAACATCTCACGGGGCATTTATCTGACTTTATGGCATGGGACAGGGTCTGCGTCTGTCAGACTTATTTACTGTGCATTAGTGAGACATTATTTACTGGGCGGGAGATTCTGAAAGTGCTGTGTTGCAAAGATTAGTTTCAACTGTTTTCAAAAGGATATTTAAATGCAATGTGAGGTGAAAAGAAATTTGCATTCTCTTTTACTCCTTAAAATGTTCACTGCTGATGACGGCACAACAAATGGCTGCGCAAATAGCAGATACACGGTCTATCTCTCCCTTCTTCTTCTGCTAAGTGTGTGATACACTCCACTAGTGGTTTTCTGACAGTGCTTGCATTTAGCTTGTTTTTGTGCCCACATGACCAGCATGGCATCTTTATATATGCCAGCTATTTCTCATCTGCATTCCTCCAGGATTTGAATCGTTTGTCTCTGCAATTGGAAGCGCAGGGTTGATTAGGGGACACCGGGGACGACTGTAACAACTTTAGTTTTGATGTCATCCTCAAAAATCTCTTTAACTCTTTGGATACATTTTTATTTAGGTAACTTGTATCTGTGTGCTTCTTGTAAATAGCCATCAGTTGTTTTTACAAGCAATGTTGGAGTCACAATATTGATTGAAACACTCCTGCACTTCAGCACAGCTGCTGGAAAAAACATTTGTGGAAACACTGCTATGGCCTTCAGTTCTTATTACTTTTTGTTTTCTGATCATCTTTGTTCCTTTTTTAGGTGTCCAGTCTGCAGCAGTAAATGTTATCTGTGAGCTGGCTCGAAGAAATCCGAAGAACTACCTGTCTCTGGCCCCGCTCTTCTTCAAACTCATGACCTCGTCGACCAATAACTGGGTTCTCATTAAGATCATCAAGTTGGTGAGTCAACGGGATACAGACAACTTGCCTTTGAGAGTTGGTGTAAGAAAAAAAGAAAATACTTGTGGTTGTATGTTACTGTCCTGCTCTTAATACTATGGGAAACAGCAAATTACTATAACCTGTGCACCACAAAGCCACGGTTTTGTTTGACTCTCACAGTATTGCACCAATCACACAGGGATAAATCCATCATAAAAGAGGAATTGATACTAGTTGCTCCACTAGCATTTGCCTCCATTGGCAAATATAGTGAAGTCACATGACAGGTTGCATTGCTTAGCAAGTTGTATTCATGTGAACAGAATCACCACTCATTTTATTTTCACCTCTCTTCTCTAAGATTAGTTACAAGTCTGATACAAGTAAATAAGAGCACCTTTTCACAGCATTAGACCTTGAATTCTTTAGTGTTTATGAAATTATTGTTTTTGAAGGTTTTGATATCACCCTACAGCTTCTCACTAGTGATATTGTAGTAGTGCTGTTCAAGTCCGAGTATTAAGATTTTGTACACTACATATGTTGTAGCATCAAAATGCTGTTTTCCCAAGCCCTTCTGAAAATGTTTTCCCACGTGACCTAAGGTTTCTGCATGATGACATTGCTACATATAAACCCCCAAACCTGCCTAATGTTGTCCCCTCATGACCGAGCCCAGCCTTCTTTGAGAACTGTGTAATATCGACCTTCCATATTAGCTGTATTCCTCAAACCCCCTGACCAGCATGGAAGCTAAGCAATATACTGCTGTGGACACCATGTTTGTTCAGATCCGAAAGAAGTCTGGTGGCTTTGGAGAGGCAGGTATCTGACAATTAACAGCAAGGTAAAGCAGTGAAAATATTATAAATATAGAGTACACTTAAACTGATATTGATTTTTTTTTTTTTTTTTTAAAGTGGGCCTTCTTTCAGGTGGCCAAAATTTGTTTTACTGCCGCCCCCGTCCACAGCAGTATATTGCTTAACTTTTATGGCGGTCTCCCTGCCTGCTTTCCAAACTGGGGGCGTGCCGACCGCCATCGACTGTAGGGAATACACTGACTATGGATAAGTACCTTATACAACCCCACTTCAAAAAATCCAAACTATCCCTTTCAGTTTTTATCATTATAATTATTATCAGCACTACAACCTGAGTCACTGCTTATAGCTCACAGCTGAGTGGGCGTTTCCATTTGAAACTCAACTCAACTCAAATGGACTCAACCTTCAACGAAAGCGGTAATTCTGATGCAAGACATAATCTGCTGTGGCACTCTTTGTGTTTGCTTTAGTTCGGTGCGCTCACACCGCTGGAGCCACGGTTGGGGAAGAAGCTGATCGAACCTCTGACCAATTTAATTCACAGGTGAGATGAAGTCCCTCAACAATAACCTACTTTTACAGATGGTTAACGCAGTTTGATCTGAGAGGTATATCAATAATAATCTGCTCTCTGTCTCTGTTTCTCTACCTGTCCTCCTCTCTCGCAGTACCTCTGCCATGTCTCTGCTGTATGAATGTGTCAACACTGTGATTGCAGGTCAGTTCTGGTATTCAGTGTGTGCGGTGTAGTGTCTAATTGAGTTTAATGTGTGTTTTCGTTCTATTTTAGTTTCTTTTTATAGGAGCTAAATCCACATCCTAAAGCCTTTTTTTATTCCTCTCACAAAAGTTCACATTCAGCTCTAATTGCTTTTTTGTCCCACATTGCAGTGTTGATTTCCTTGTCCTCTGGGATGCCTAACCACAGTGCTAGTATCCAGGTAAGCCTCTAAGGTCCATTCTTCCATCTGCACTTTCATTCGGTTAAATATCAATCATAACCCTTTCCACCCCAGTTGAACCACAATGCATGCTTCTGCCTGGTCACAAATCTGTCTGTTTAAACATGTAAGGTAGAGACACGGTAATGATAAGACTCATAAAGCTTTTTTTCTTGCTCTCAGTTGTTGTGACTCTCAGTAAGGCATGAACAAATCATTTTGCATCACCCAATATAAGCTCAATTTTTCCCCAGTTTTGTTTGTTTCATTCCTGTTTTGTTTAGTGTGCCCGTATGACAAGACTGAAACTGGTGTGGAAAGGTTTCGTGATGTTAATGGCTCCTTTTCTCTTGCTCTCTCTGTCTCTTTCTCTCTTTCAGCTCTGTGTGCAGAAACTGCGAATCCTGATAGAAGACTCGGACCAGAACTGTGAGCCCTCTGTCAATGCCTGCAGTGTGTCATTTTCTCATTGTCTGCGTGTTTCTGACTATGGAACAGTCCACCCTCTTAGACGACAACAACGTAGTCCCCCTGACTCTGGATAACTCGAACATCATCACAGCCCCTTTCTCAATTAGGGGGGCCTGTTGAGAATACCATTTCACTTAAGTCACCGCCGCTTCAACACACAAACCCTGTGTTTGACTCAAAAAGTAAACAATTTGTTGCCAGTTTGCGATTCTCAAACATTGGGCGTGGCTCTATAAATACACTCCCTTGCACGCGGGAGCTGCGAATACGTCATCCAGCCATTCGAGTTATCTGGACACCCATACATAGATAGTTTTGTGTGTGGAGTAGACTTAGACCTCTGATGTTAATAGAGCAGACTGTGAACCTGTGGTTTTAGGTTTTGTTTATCCTTTCACCGCACCTCTTGTTAGAAAGATAAAGTAACAGCTATGAGGCTGTTACGCTTCCCCCACAAAATAGCCATTTATATATCAGTTACTCAACATGTGTTGACTTGAATATGTGAAGAAAAGTTTGTTTTTCCTATATTGCTCCTCTGTAAACGAAGAATCCAAAAAAGGCGAACATTCTTGATGAATTGAAGTAAATGGGGACCAAACTCTCACAGAAGCCGTGCAGTATAATCCAAGTCTCATTTAATCTGTTGTATGCTTAGTACTTCCCCAACACATGTATTCTTCGCTAAAACATTACGACTTATGATAAAACATGTCAGTACAAACAGTCTTATGCTTAGCCAAGGGGCGTGCCTGTGCACACCCATGTGTTTGGAATCACAACACTGCAGAGCTCATATGCACGCCCGTGCTCAGGTACGCTCGGGGCTACTGCTCATTGGCGTTAGTGTTTTATATTGTAACGCTTTAGAGTTTATGAACTGATATTTTGATATTGTTTTGTTGTTAAACACTGTCCCCGTTTTACTTAATTTTTTGGATTCTTCGTTCACTGTGAAGGCATGCGAGAATTTTTTTTTTTCATGAATTCAATGTTACATGGGGTAAGACGTTGATATACAGCTGGTCATTTTGCAGATGAAGTGTTCTTGAAGAAAGAGGCCAATTTGGAAGTCCATTACTGTTTAAGCAAGCAAAATATATAATGCATATTAGTTTTATTGTCAGATTGAAAATCAGTTGATAAACCTGCGGTATCATTCTTAATAAGTTAGATGTACTGCAGTCTACTAAAAGGTAAAGATCTGTAGTCTCTAAGTCTCTATAGGTTAAGTGTGTGTTAATGCAAACACCAGATGCAGTGCATTTATTCCACTTTTGCTATGAATAACCACAGGAACAGATCAACTGAAGGCAGCAGTTTAGTAAACAAATTTTTTTGCTTTAACATCTCACATTGTAAATATTGTTTGCAACTTTCTCACTGAGAGAAAGTTCTACTGAACTGCTGCTGTCACTTTCCCATTGCTGAGGAACATTCAGTGTCATTGTCTCCTGCATCTGCACTGAGGCCACGTCTCCGGTCATTTCTGCTGTGTATTCACCGCAGTGACCAGGCTCACCTAAAGCCCCAAGGTCACTACCGCACGCACACACTTATCGATCCAAGAACCTGAGAGGCATTTGTCTCTGCCAAATCAAATGATCGACAGAAAGCCGTGATTCAGCAGATTTCTGAATCGTTAATAATCAGTTTGGTGAGTACGAAAAGCTGCCGGGGGATACGACGGAGGATAAAGCAAAACAAAACTACTGTGTCCAGTATGTGTGTTGTGTCGTGTGTTTGTGTGTCCTTTCCATTGGTCTGTATGTCTTGTGTTCCTTTCCTTTATATTTAGTTTGTATCACTTCATATGTGTTTTATAGATTATTTTAGGGAAGATGAAATTTGTCAGATTTTATTTACATGAAAATATTTTCTAGCTGCAGCCAGCTAGGCCTTATAGCATGACTAGAGACTGACTAGTTTTTGCACAACCAGGTTTTATACTTGTTGTGTAACTGCATCACAGTCAAGGAAGGATAGTCAGGTGTGTAGATGATAGGAACTTGAATGAGAAAATACTATAACAACATACGTCATTGTTATTGTAGAGAATAACATCAGCTGATAAAAGTAAATACACAATTGCTTGCCAGGGTGCAGAGAGCTAAGGGTGCAGGACAGGTACATCTGTTTTTAAACCCACTGAGGTCATGTTTGTTTTTGTAGTGAAGTACCTGGGCCTGCTGGCCATGTCAAAGATCCTGAAGACCCACCCCAAGTCAGTGCAGTCTCATAAGGACCTCATCCTCCAGTGTCTGGACGACAAGGACGAGTCCATCCGCCTGAGAGCTCTGGACCTGCTCTATGGCATGGTATGAGGCAATGGCATTTGTTTTACACATCAATTTATTTATTGTATTTTTTTGTGTTAATATCTTTGAGTCTGCTGGTGGTGTAACTACATACCAGCGGTAGGGATGCCACAGAGAAGAATTTTTTTCCACCAATGCATTAACGTGTGAAACTGAAGAGATAGATGATGCTCAGAATACACCAGTCAGCCAGAATCTCAAAAACACTGTCAGGTGACGTGAACAACATAGATCATTTCATTAGATTGAAATGTTCTGCTGGGAAACTTTTGGTCCGGGCATTCATGTGGATGCCACTTGAAGTCCACCACCCACCCAAACACTATTGCAGACCAAGTACAACCCCTGATGGCAACAGCTCCATGCCACACTGCGTAAACTGTACAGGAGCTCAAGGTGTCAACCTGCCCTCCAGATTCCCCAGATCCCAATCTGATCTAGTATCTGTAGGATGTGTTAGTACCACACCACACAACCAGGACACCCTTCAGAGTTCCTGTGTCCATGCCTCGACATGTCAGAGCCAAGTTCGATCCAAGGAGGCCCCGTGGATCAGAGGTACCTCTGGGATACCGACTCTTGCCACAAATGCTCGATCAGATTGGGGTCTGGTTTGTCCTGTGTGCTTTGTCCTGCTCAGGGGCCAATGCCATCAGGTAGTGCTGCTGCCATGAGGTGGGGTATTTGGTCTGCAATAGTGTGGGTGGGTGGTACATGTCAAGAAGCATCCACATGAATTCCAGGACAGGAAGTTTCCCAGCAGAACATTGCATTTTAACAAGATGATTAATGTTATTCACTTGATCTGTCAGTGGTTGTAATGTTTTGGCTGAACACTATGTAGAGCATTTACTTTGATCTTCAACGGTAGATCTTAAGATCTTGCACCTTGGAACAAAACTAAACAGTAACAGTCAGTGTGGCTGTAGCAGCACCTGCTTTTCCTTTAAATAAACTTGCTAAAGGTTTTTTTTTTTTGTTTGTTTGTTTTTTCGCTCAGCTCGGCGACAGCTCTCTTCTCCTCTTAATCCTTCTTTTCACTCACAGGGTGTGCTCTGTCCCTGAGGATGACTGCTTCTTTCTCTGTCATCCTCTAAGTCTCCTCAATGTTCGTGTCGTTGTCACCCTGGTAGCACAGGGCCATAAATGTTGCCTTGTGCATAAGGTTATATATAGGGTGATATATAGTCACTGTACAAGATCTTCAACTGTGCCCCCTGACTTTAAAGCTGTGTTGAGGACATTCTGTCTCTCTCTGCCTCAGTTGAAGAAACAACCTTTTAAAGGTGTACATTCATGTGTATAAATTTGATGGCTGCTTTCCCAGGTTTCCAAAAAGAACTTGATGGAGATTGTAAAGAAACTGATGCTGCATGTGGACAAAGCAGAAGGAACCACCTACAGAGATGAACTCCTCACCAAGATCATCGACATCTGCAGCCAGAGCAACTACCAGTACATTACCAACTTTGAATGGTCAGTTATTTACTTACTTATCTCACTCTGTCTTTTGTTAACTTTGTTTGATGTTATTTCCACTCTGTGACATGATTTTTCACTTCCTCAAATCTACCTGACAGGTACATCAGCATCCTGGTGGAGCTGACCCGGCTAGAGGGCACACGGCACGGCCACCTCATTGCCTCTCAGATGCTGGATGTGGCTATCCGGGTCAAAGCCATCCGGGCCTTTGCTGTTGCCCAGATGGCCACTCTGCTGGACAACGCCCACCTGTTGACAGGCAACGTGCAGCGAAAGGGCATCTGCGAAGTGTTGTATGCCGCAGCCTGGATCTGTGGTGAATTCTCAGAGTACGTTGATTCAGCTCATTCTTAAACCCACTGGTGTAAGATGACATCAGTGTTATTTTTGTTAACGAAAACTATGACTAAACATGTTCGTCAACAGCCCTTTTTTTCTCATGACTACCGTGCCTAATGTATTATGATGATAGGGAAGAATGCCATGACCCAGTTGCCCGTAACAGAAAATTCGGGGGGAGATGACTGACAGCTCGGTTCAGATAGTGTGCTTCCCACCTCTGTTTCCTTCCTCCTTTATCATCCAAGTACAAGCGAGCCTTACCTGACTGACAGTTGACACAATCTTTCATTTTTGTTACACTCACTGCAGGGCTGATATGCGTCCCTAAATTTGGACTCAGTGACACTTGTTATTGTTAATATCTTCTTACTTGTCAAAAGTAACAAACAACTTCCATTTCAAATGGCATATGAGTAATGGGCTTCCAATTTGTAATAATGTGTCTTGAATAACATGGTGGTTTCAGATGTGTGTTATTTCAGTTGATAAACTTCCACCTCCTTTCCCTCTATTCTTAGACACCTGGAGAATCCGATGCAGACGCTAGAGGCCATGCTGCGGCCTAAGGTTGCCACCCTACCGGGCCACATCCAGGCAGTGTACGTACAGAACGCAGCCAAGCTGTTTGCCACGGTGCTGAAGAGCCAGGAGGGGAACACAGACGGCACAGCAGCACAGGAAACCAGCCAGCTGATGATCGACAGGCTGCCTCTCTTTGTCCAGAGCGCCAACCTGGAGGTGCAGGAGAGGGTAAGAGAGAGATATGTGTTAATGTCACAACAGAGATCATTACTTTTTAACATTTTGACCTTTGGCATCATATATCTCACAAAGTCACCCACTACGTACAAATCTAGTAAATGACTCAGCTAATCTCCCTGTCGACCTCACCTTCTGTCCCGTCCGCAGGCGTCTTGCATCCTGCAGCTGGTCAAGTACATCCAGAAGCTGCAACAGAAAGAGGTAGAAGTAGCAGAGGAAGTCATTGCTTTGTTCGCTGGAGAACTCAACCCTGTAGCCCCCAAGGCACAGAAGAAAGTGCCTGTTCCTGAAGGGTGAGTTGACTCAGTACATCACAGACACACTCGCGTTAAAACCATCATTAGAGGGGACCTGTAATGACCTATATTTTGGCTCAAAACTGACGTCAGATTGTGACAGATTTCTTTATATGGTCATACAGAAAACAAGATCAAGGAAGTCTCAAATTAATGGTTCATCATACATGATGAAGACCGAGAGTCGATACACATCAGACTTTTAGATTGCCTATACTTGAAGAATAGATATATGAAATTATTTCACCTGTTCTGTTTTTTTGTTTTGTTTTGTTTTGTTTTCATGGTTGTCGGCGTTAATTTGAGACTTATTGTATCTTTTTTTATTTCATACTTTTACCTGCCTCAGCAAAGAGCACCTGTTTGACCCGCCATCAGAGCCAAGCAGTGCCTTCTTCTTCCCTTGTAACACTCTACTACAAGTGTTCATATTGCGTACACTGCAACATGTAGCTACAGGTTAACATCAGGGTAATCTTGGTTACTGAGGTTGTTCAATTTTCCTCGATTTCAGATCATATTCCCACTGGAACATGTCCGGTTTTGTAGATTTTGGTTTAGAAGCTTTCATTGGTGATTTTTCACAGTAGAAACCACTATCCTCCAATACAGTCTTACCTGGCTGCAGTGACATGTATTGAGGGTGCAGATGCGGGACACCTTGAAATGACCAGTCAGAGCAGAACGGGTGTTTACGGGAGGGGAGAATAAAGAGACAGGCATTAAAACGGAGCATTTCAGACAGAGGATGACAGAGCAGAGACTGTATGAAAGAAATGAAGTGTTTTTTGACCATTAAAGCATGTACACATGCTCTAGCAGAAACCCAAATACTTATATGAGCCTGAAAATGCGCACAGTAGGTCCCCTTTAAAATGACATTATTACAGAGTTTGACTGTATTTCTAATCTTGTTGAGTAAAACCCATAAATCCTGTTTGTATCATTGTGGTTCACCACAGAGATTATCTGAAACTAGCATGTGTCTGTGAGGCCAGTGAAGTGTAACTGAGTTTGTTTGTGCAGTCTGGACTTGGATGCCTGGATCAACGAGCCTCCATCTGAGAGCGAGTCTGAGGATGAGCAGCCCAAGGCTATTTTTGCCAAGGAGGAGCCCAAACACTCCCGCCCCCGTCACACAGAGGTGGACGAGAAGGAGCTGGCGAGGGTGAGCTGGTCAATGCAGCATTGTTAAATTGAGCATGCAACATTGTTTTATGAATAGTATAAATATACAGACATGAAGGTGCTTTTCAGTCGAGACATAATCATGCAGTGCTTACCTTCAAAACAATATTGACTTTCTCTGAGTTCTCCTGTGAATCTGTCTTCCCATGTGGTTCCCCTATCATGCTAAACTGAGGTAGGCAGTGCCCTCATTGATTAATTCATGTTACTGTGTTTTCCTTGTCTCCCAGAGGAGAGAAGCCAGAAAGCAGGAGCAAGCCAACAACCCGTTCTACATCAAGGCCTCTCCATCCTCTCAGAAGGTGTGTTTACCCACTCATCACCAGGCTGTCTTTTTCACTGCACATGTGTCTGTCAAATCTGGTCTGTTGTATAAGTAACAATTACAGGATACTGAATAGATATAGTCAGACTTGTGCATAAAATGTATACAGTAACAAACAGCGTGTGTTTTAAATGAGTGTCTCCTCTGTGTAGGTGTACCAGGAGGCCCCTGGAGTGGAGCACATCCCAGTCGTACAGATTGACCTCAGTGTGCCTCTCAAAGTCCCAGGTAGCACACTTTACCTCACTCTCACAGCTTTCAAAACTTTATAAAAATCAAAATGCTTACTTTACTGACGTCGTACTATGTCGTGCTGCAATATAATTAGATACCATCATGGTTCATGTTCAAAATAATAATGACATTTTTCTTGCTTCTCTCCTGTTGTTATGAGGTATAATACATGATGCGTTCTTCTGTCCCGCAGGTCTGCCTATGTCTGACCAGTACGTGAAACTTGAGGAGGAGCGTCGGCAGAAAGAGAGAGCAGAGAAGAAGAAGAAAGAGAAGAAGAAGAGGAAAGAAAAGCGCAGCGGACGAGGGAAGAAACACGATTCAGGCCCGGAAAGTGAGGAGGACATCACGCCTGCGCACATGGTCGACATTGTTACCGAGGAGATGCCAGAGGTACACTGGAGCTGTGTTAACATCACAAAGAGTTTTGAATTGACAGGTGTCATCATCAGTAATAATATACATTTGATATCAGTGATTCTGCACATCACACAACATTGATAATTTGCATGAGACTCTAATTTAATGTAGAAAAATAAAAGGTATATACGTTTTCCTCTCTAAATTATAATGCTGTTAACACATTACTCTGACCTTATTATTGTTCAAAACATTAATGCCAACTGACAAACTATGATTGTGGACTAGAGGTCGACCAATTGATTGGTTCGGGGGATTTGGCGCTGGCACAAAAGTCTATGGCTGAATCCAAATGTCCGCATTTCACTACAATTCATCCAGTCCACAAGGGGCCTTAAGCGGGCTTTCTGCAGACTCCCAGAGAGTCCGCTTGGGGTGCAGACTTCAGCAGACTTCGCTGATTTAATAACCCACAATTCATTGCAATACAGACGTGACATTGTGGGTTTTTCAACTGCCAAAAAAAAGACTTCTGAATGTGTAAAACAGTAATTGATAGTTAGGTCTATTAAAATGCTACTTGAATTGCGTGGGCCAGAAATAATATTCAACCACATCATGAAACAGAAATATGTATAAGTATAGGCTGTAGAGGGACTGAGAATGCATTTTATTATTGCGGCTAAAAAATTGGCCTAAAAACAACAAAAGAGGGTCTGTAATATAAGTAATGCCCAATTTACTGAGATCCTGTCCTAATTTACAAACATCAATGTTTTTGAACACTATAAGCTGTTATATAGAGATGTATTAATACATTTTTGTTCAGGCACAAAAAAGGTTATACATGGCATTTATGTCTTGTTATCTGCAGGGACACATGAGTAGGCACTATTCATCAGCTCATGACATATATGTGAATATGACAGCAGCAACAGTTGACCGTTTCCACGGCAATGAGTAAAACGGTCTCGAGTGCTGTCTATCAGCCGCTTGCAGTCTCTGCCCTGGCAGAGTGATGACAGTTAACGTCACACTACATACTACAGAAGTCCACAAGGGCTCAGTCCGCAAATCCAGAGGGTGGACATTTGGATTCAGCCTCTGAGTCTGTGAGTGAATGTAGTACCTTCCTGTTTCAAATTAAAAGCCCTTCAGTATTTCATACACAGTCCAGCCATATACTATGTTTTGACCTTTCTTGTTTTAATTTTTAATGAATCACGGACAAAGTATCTTGAAAACACCAAATCACTTCTCTTTAAATGATCTTGCTTAAAATTGCATTTGAGATTTTTCAGCCCTGTCAAATATCAGTTACTAAATACTCTAAAGTAACTGAATGTAACAGAAATATTGCTTATCTCTGATCATAGTTTTGCACGGAGACTCCATACTCAAAGGTAAGGTAATGTGATTGCGTGCCTGAGAATCTCAGGTTGAGTTTGAGGGAAAACAGTGGCAATAAGAATTAAAATCATCCCCCTAGATTTTTCACAGTTAGTTTAAATTCCAAATTTCTACATTAGATACTTCAAGTTAGATGTTCATGTCCATGTTTCTATATTTATTTTTCTACCATGAGTTAGAAACTGGACAACTGTAGAGCTGAACGTCTAATAAAGCCAAAGATTGTTCATTTCTGAAACTGTTTCATGGGGGTGATATCATCTGATTCATCTGCTTTTTCCTGCTTCAAACTATCGTTACTATTTCGGCCTTTAGATCCCACTATTGGACAATCTCTAACATGGACATGTATCTCAGTCAGAATTTAGTGCTTTAATCACTTGCGTGGTTTATTGGGTTCTCAGCTCTGAAGCTGGAAGCCAATATCTCTGATCTTTTCACATATGCTGTGTTGTAGATAGAAGATTATCTAGAGAGAGTAACAAGCTCTGTTTTGTCGATTTCAGAATGCCTTACCCAGTGATGATGATGACAAAGATCCCAATGACCCCCATAAAGCCCTGGACATCGACCTGGACAAGTGAGTCCACACTATGTTCCTGTACACTGATCTGACCCTTGTGTAAATGTCACACCTGATATAAGCACATAACGTCTAAGCTGCTGAGAGCCATCATTTACACATCTGTCTGAGCCAATCAACCACTCGTTAAAAGTGTGATTTTCAGTCCGAATCTAGAGCAGAGAATTGCTGAAGTTGAATCTTGTGTGACTTTTTAACTTGATATTTTCTCAGCCTGATTATTTCCTGACCTTCCCGGCCGTAGCGTCACAGCAGCTGTGACGCGGCCCTTTCCCTCCTCTCACTCCTTCTCATGGCGGTCTGCTTTCTGCTTCCTCTTTTTCTATGCCTACACACACCCACACCTGCCTCTTTGTGCGGGCAGCTTGGTGGAGATGGCTGGGCGTAGGTGAGTAGCACTCCAGCCGCAGGACCTGGGCTCCAAATGTACATGGACTGCCTCTCTGTCTCTTTCTCTCTCTCTCTCTCTAAGTAGCTGTCTTGCTCCTCAAACTAACATAGCTGTCCTTTCTCTGCTCATCTGGAGTTTGCAGTATCTGCTCCCTCTTTCTGCTCTTCTCTCCCAGTATTTTCAGCATCTACTGGTCATCATAGCCTTTGACTTAGTATAATAGCCAGTATCCCTCTCCTCTTTACCCTGCTTCTTTTTTAAAGCTTTTATAAGCTTGACAACATCAGCAGCACATCACTCTATTCTATGATTTCTCTGTCCTTCAGAGAAGAAAAATTCTCCTAAAAGAAATATATCATTGATTAACGTCAAATTGTTTCACAGAAATATAATCTTTAACCGGCTGCTGCTGATGTTCTCAGGACTCAATCTCTCCCCACCTGTCCTCCTGGAATAAGCTCCTAAAAGCACTTTGGCGCTTGTTTTTCTTGGAAAAGTCCATCAGCGTCAGTATGCTTTTAGGAAAAGTATCCCAGGGGTTAGGTACAATAATTCTTTTGCTCACATTGCCCAGATCTTCCCTAAGTTCGGCAGACCTGCCATGCCTCCAAATTCTCACCAGCTGTTTTTTAAGTGCATACTCCTTGCCTGGCCTTGGTGGAAATAACAAGCACATCTGCTCTTAGACCAATGCTGTGATATGATTTATAGTAGATGATGTACAATTATTTTAATAGTATGAGGTTGAACTCGTGTTTAAAACTAAGAAATGGAGAAGATTATAGATTGTGCAGGAGTTATTGCAAACATCTGGAGGTAACTGTCTGCATATATTTCTGTTATGGCTTTCTTTTACTGAAAATTTTCTCCAGTATAAAAAATGAGGAATAAAACAAAAGATTTATAGAAAGATCAAACAAAAATAATACTGAATTCATCTTGAAGAAAGCACAAGCATTGTTTCTATTATGTGCTTTTATATAGAACAACCAGCAGGGGGCTGCAGTGCATGTGTTTATTGCTTTAAAGGCTCAGGCTCGGGGAAATAAGCTTGACAGCTCTTATCAGTTCAACATGGAGGAATTTATTGGTGTAGTTTTTAGCTGTCTGGGAAGTTCCAGTGCTTCTAGCTCTGCCAGAGGAATGGCTTAATGCAATGCTTTGAATGAGACCTGGCTGCTGCACAGAGCAGAACATGTGCCTGAGTACCGTGAAGTTGTGCACCACACAGCCCTTGTTCACCTTTTTTAACAGATCAATACTTACTACAAGAAAATAAGTTTTCAGATGATGGCACTAACTCCAGGTGGACCGTAATCACCTCATAAATCCTCATCTAAACAATGTCAATATGTGTATCCGTGCTTTGTTGTTTCTCCAGGCCACTCGCTGACAGTGAGAAGCTGCCTGTCAGGTCACACCGTGCAGCAGAGGCTCTCAAAAGCCCGGCTGAGGACGGAGACGTGGAGAGTGCCGCTTCACAGGAGCCCAAGAAGAAGAGCAGCAAAGAAAAGCGTGAAAAGAAGAAGGATAAAGACAGGGATAGGAAGGTGAGGGTAAAATGTCAACAGGATTTTGCTCTTTGTTTTTTTCTCCTGGAAACCACACTCGCCTCATTCTGTCTAGGTCATGAAGCTGCTCCTTAAAACCAGTAAATCAGAATTATGGAGCGGTTTGAGCGAGAGGGGGAAACAACAAGGAGCTGTCAGCCATCATGACGAGATGAGTCAGAGGTTGTGGTCCTCAACCTTGTTGTGACACACAGCTGAATTTATTCTCCTGTTTTTTCGCAGAAGAGCAAAGAAGAGAAGAAGAAGAAGAAACACAAACATGAAGACAAAGGGGAGGATCTTCTTGGGGAGCAGGCGGACGAGCCTGTGGTCCAATCAGAAGAAATTAATGAGGTGGCTGCACCTCCCGCCTCCACCACTGCTGAGGTATGTCCTTACAGAGGGGTTGAATGAGGCTGTTTCCTACCTAGCAACAGTTTATATCTGAGATCTGATTTGACCCAGAAGTCACATTAAATTTGATAATCTCATCTAAAATTAATTGGCTTAAGAATATTAATACATGTAGTCCACAGTTTCTGCTAAAAGGTTACATGCATACAGATATCTTTGATCATTCTCATTGACTCAACACTTCCATCGCTTCTTCCCAGCCCGTCTTTCAATCAGCTTTAGTGATCAAGTATCCGTTTCCTCGTAGCTGACTGCACAGGCTGTTGCCAAATACTTGATTTATTCATGAAATAGAACAGTGTAATCTCTGTATCCATTTCCATGAATAGTAGAAAGATACATAACCTGTTTGGCCCTCACCCCTCTCACCTCCTCGCACTCCTCTCCCTCCCTCCCTCTTCTAGGTTTCGGATCTGGATTTCTGGCTCTCAAACGCTCCAGTGCCCTCTAACACCCAGGTTGAGTCGTCCCCTCTCCCTCCTTCTCTCTCCTCCTCTCCTCTCATCTCTCCAGTTTATACATTCCTCTTTCATATCTCCATGTTTTATGGATCTGCCTCATATTTTTGGTTTTTGCCATGTGTTCTCCCTCTTGGTTTGGATTGGTTGTTTTTTTTCTCACCTCACCCACACCTCACCTTTTTGACACGACTTCCTCTCTTTCACAGGTCACATAACACTTTCTCCTCTCATCCTCTTTTTTCCAGCATGTGTATATGTGTGCCCGTGTACACAGTGTGTGCGTATTTGTCTCACAATGCCAGTGGTTCTCTTCCTCAGCTTTTTGTTTTGCTCGCTGGGTGTCGTGTCGGTCTTGAGATCAAAGTGGATGTCGTTATTGTTGTGTCGGTGGTGGTGGTGATGGTATAAAGTGAGCGGAGGTTGTCTGAGGCTCCCTGGAATGTGGCCTGGAGTCAGTTTTTATGTGTTCCTGTCGCCACCGCATCACCACATGTGTCCTCTGACTGCTTCCTCCATGATCACATGTGGGGTCGTGCCCGTCTTTGTTTGTGTTTGACCTTTTGAGTGTCACTATTGCACACAGAGAGACAGAAAACATCATAGATTCCTAGAAGCAGGATAGAGTTAATGCTATAATGTGGAATTTTTTGGTCACTATGGAGCAACAGTTTTATGAGCGAGTCTTGCACATGCATGCACACACCAAGATGCAATCACCAGTCCTGCTGCAGATTTTAAGCAAATCAACATTTCACTGCGGTAATGTGTGCAGTAATGTAGCAACATGCCAATAAAGGCAGTGAAGAAGAAGACCAGTATCTAGTAAACATTGATGTAAACTATTTAGGGTTTAAGATATTTTTGAAATCTGCTTTGCAGGTGTTTTATGAGGAAGGAAATGCATTCACCACATTTGTTAAAGCTCAAGGATTCACACTATATTTTTTGGTGAGGAAAGCTGAACGTAAACACAACAGGGCACCTTAAACTTGCTCTCACCTAATGATTCACAAAAGTAAAATAACACCATTATTTAAAGGTATATTATGCAGGAAATGTTGTTTCCTATTTGTGAGCACAACATTCAAATTTGGACGCTCCTCCCTACACTGCTTGTACGTACACTGCAACCTACAATTGTAGGAACGTTACATTTGTTGTAATGGAAAAGCTGATGCTTAAGCAAGCTAACTAAGCTAACTGCTCACACATGTCCAACATAAAACAGGCCAACTACGCATCACTCTTCATCCCCATCCTCTACTTCAGTGCTCTTCAGTAAAAAGTGAAAGCCAATCCAAGATTCAGTCTCACTGTGAAACAAGCTTTGTTAGCTTAGCATTTCACCTCGCTATATTTATATATAATGAGACTGTGTCCACAATTTATTTCTCTCGAGTGCTGTTTTTGGCTGTGGGTACACGCCCACAAGTGTCCCGACCACAGCAAAATAAGAGGAAAATACAGGCAGTGCAGGGTGGCTGCAGATAAATACACCGCCACACACTTACAGTGGGTCATAAGTGAAGATTGAGAGGGATTACTACCAAAACAGTATATACAGTTTTGGGGTTTGCCTGCATAGTGTACCTTTTACCCGCCTAATATAATGGTAGGGGAAACACTGCTATTCCTAAAACCAGGCCTGTCCATTTTAACTTTGGTTTTGAGGAATTCTTTGTTAATCATATGAGCTGTCAGTCCCAAAGTGAAAGCTCTTCTGACCTAGATACACTGCCCTTTAAGGACATGCCTCGACATGTCTACGTGCAAGACTTGTTTTTGTATTGGCTGTCACACTAGCAGAACAGATCGCAGATTTTGACCCACAGGGGCCTTCCTATAGCATACACGTAGGCTGTCACTGGGATCCTGTAAGTCCTTTATCTGTAGCTGAGTAGCTCGTGTGGCTTATTAGTGCCGTCCTCTCAACAGCCCAAAACAAAGCCACTGCACGTGCACAGATATCCACAACATCCTTATTGGTTTCACAGACAGGCACATTTTGGCTCAGTTTATTAGACTGGTTGGTGGTCTTGCATGTGATGCACTTGGTTTAGAAAATCAGGTTTGTGGTATCACAGAGCTTGTAGGTTGCAGCTGGTCATGAATGACTTTTTTTTTATGAATGAGTGAACTCACTAACTCAACTTACCTCTATCAACACAGAAGTGGCAAACACTACTGTATTCATCACATACTTCTAATGCCTTTGTGTGTTTTTGTGGTGGTGTGTGTCTAAACAGGAAGCAGCAACAGTAGCAGCAGCAGCAGAAGCAGCCCCCGTGCCTGAGGCGGCCTCTGGCACAGCACCAGACTCCGAGCCCGATGAGCCCAAAGACACCGAGATGGAGGAGACGGTGAGTCACCGTCGATGATGCGATAATTGCAAAGTAAAAAGTTTGCCTGCAGAGATTGCAGTTCACAATGACCTGACGGGACGCAGCACATTGGCAGCTCTTATTCTCACACGTTCACGCAAATGATGTGCCACAGACCTGCCAGTTCGTATGTGCTCTCTGGAGGAATAGAATTTCTAATAAATTGTCTCCATCTTGTTCTCAATGAGTAGAAGTCCTCCAAACACAAGAAGAAGAAGCAGAAAAAGGAGAAGGAAGAGAAGGAGAAGAAAAAGAAGAAGAAGCACCATCACCACCATCACCACAGCGAAGGAGGGGGAGAGGAGTCGGTGCAGAACGGCACTGTGGAGGAGGAAGAGCCTCTGCCGGTCAGTGTTAGTCATCAGTGTTTAACAGCCTGACCTCAACCAGAAGTGTGAATGAAAACATTCAGCTCAGCAGGTTTTTTTATTTTATGCTTTAAGGGGGGGGGGGACAAGTCACAAGTAACTGACTTTAAAGCTACAAATAACTTGATGCGTGCAAATTTATCATCATTCTGATCTGTGGCTCTCAGCTGCACTGTTTAAACCCTCTGACCGCTACACACACACAGACACACACACACACAGACACACAGACACACACACACACACACACACACACACACACACACACACACACTGCCTTGGTTGTTATGCATCGACCAGGTAAAACCAGCTCCTGTTGCCTAGTTAGCATACAGAGTGACAGAGAGCATCTGATCTGACCTGAGCTCTTCTCTCCTTTCAGCCCATGTCCAATTACTGCCTGCTGGCGGAGAACTCCTACATCAAGATGGTGAGTGATGGAGGGATTCTGCTGAAAGAAAGAGGGACCTTTACCACTGGGCTTGGATTTTTTTCTTTCACTCATTATCCTTACAAGATTTGTCCAGTATTTGGCCTCATTTCAGCCATAATAACGTTTAATTTAATCATTTTATTTGCGGTATCTAAAGCCTTCTCTGACAAGGCATCATGTGAATCGTGTTGACATTTTTGGCTCACTGTATAATGAAGAGGGGTGATGAAAAGATTTGCACAACATGTGGGTTTGCTTGCCAGAATTCACCTCACACTTTTTTCTGCACGCTGAAAAGAAAAAAAAACATGTTTAATCATCTGACCACATGTGATGTTTACCCTTAATCGACTCCATCGTTGTGCAGCTCTGCATATCTCTGTGAGATTAATAAGTAAAATGTTATTTCCAATCATGAGATCCAGGTTGTGGAAAATCCTGAATTTTCTGCTCAAAAATTAGCAGATTCTAACCTTCCTCTTTAAGGACAAATGTGGAAACAGTCATTCTAATGTTCCCATTTAGGCTGTTGATATTAACGTTATCTAAGACAACAGTGGCAGTGAAAAAGCAAACAATGTATGCAGATCCTCTCCTTTTCTCTCCCTCTCTTTTAAGATGATGGAAGATGCTGATGAGGTACTGGTTACATTCTGTCAGTGACAGAATATTAAATCTCTTCTAGATGTGTTTCACTCTGTTCTTGTTGCACTTCACGGACCGGCCTCGGAGGCAGACTCCGTTAACATTTCTGAGAATGATTCTGTCCTTGTGGTTTTCTCCTTGTGCTCAGACTTGGTTTCTTGGAAACAGTGTTGTGTGCTTTGGTGTTGGGTTTATGAATCAGATCTGCTGTGTTTACTGTATGTCTTCTTTAAATAATCATCGCTCAGTGAAATACAAGGAGGGAGGTTTAGACAGCTTGAGTCTGAACAGTCATTCTCAGTGCAAATGCATTTATTTATTTCATTTTATTTTCCTCCCACAAAAGGTGAACGACATCCAGGGAAACCTGCAGGATGGCAGCCAGGTGGTGGTGTCTGTTATATTTGAAAACAAGTGCGACAGCTTCCTCAAGTCCATGGAGTTCAACGTGCTGGACTCTCTCAACTCCAAGCTGCAGAGGCCAGAGGGGTCAGGTCCACATGACGGCCTCACCGTTCCCTTTCAACTTCCACCTGGTTAGTGATTAACTGCAAAATGCATGTGTTCAATAGAGAAATCAATCTCCCTGAACAATACACATGCACAACAATGGATTTTTGTAGTGTGTATAGAGTCATTGCGTTCACTGTAGTGTTCTAAAATGGTGTTTACCAACATTGTAATGACCCTCAGTCTATTTCAAATCTCACTTTGGGAGGTTTTGTTAAATCTAAGTACTCTGTTGTGCTTCAGGGGTGTCCAATGAAGCCCGATTTGTCTTCACCGTACAAAGCATCGTAATGCCACAGAAACTGAAGGGAACCCTCACCTTCATAGTAAAGGTCGGTAGGAAAACACACACACACATACACACACATGAAAATCAGAATCAGAAATACTGTATTGATCCCAGAGGGGAAATCGTGATTTGTTAGTCGCTTCTTTGGCAAAAACATCCCCTCACCAAAACAAACAGTTTGTTTTAGTTTCATATTTTAAACCAGTCACAGCTTCCATAACGTGATGTTAAACTGTTTCATGTCCATTTTTAAATATTCTCATATTCCCCAATTTTTCAGTATTTTATTTTGCTGCAGCCGTCCCCAACATGTCAAACATAAATTAGAAAGGCTTGATATTGCAGAATTAGATTGGTTATACCCCTTTTTCCACTGAAATTAGCATGTAAATGCAGGTTTTTTTGAATGCAGGAAAACTTGCTAAAAATAAGCGATAGGCTCCTTTCCCATTGTTAGTGGTAGTTTTTTCTGTTGTGTCACATTTGGCACCACAAACATGCCAGGAAAAAGGGTTAGTAAACAGTGGAAAGCAGCATGGAGCTCAGTGAAAATAATACTGTTGTTACTTCTATATCTGTTACTTATTCGGTCTCTCTCTCAAACTGTGCCAACTAATTTTGAACTATATGTGAGCACTACTTGCACAGCGATAGCTGGTATTATGTGGCGGCATGTCATTGCATTGTGCTGGCAACGAGGCAGAAAATGATATGTCGTATTTCTATCACTGCTAATCAAAGCCAATCAGAGCCGGAGCTGATAAACACCCGTGACTACTGCAGAGTCTTCCAATTGTAACCTTTCCTATTAAATACAAACCCAGATATTGATGTGTTTTTTTTTTTTTGTCCAGTGGGGTAAGGGGCTTTCAGAATGTTCCTTTGCTGATTCCACTCCTGTCAAAAACATTTTGGGAGCAGCAGGGTAACATAGCAGCACAGAAGCTGTGTACTTCAATGATGCAAGGAATCCTAAACCAGCTCCAGGTTTCATTTTGGTAACTCACCCTTCACCCAGATCTCTGTGCAGGTCTACTGGCCAAAAGAGACACGTTCAAGTGCCACGTTACTTTGTTATTGATTATCTGTATTTCTTGTTGTGCTCCCGCAGAATGAAGACTCCTCTACTCATGAAAAACTGGACTTCAAACTGCACTTTACCTGCACCTCCTACCTAATCACTACTCCTTGCTACAGGTTGGTGGATCATGTTTTACACCACATTACAACCCATGTTACAAAGTTGGAAAACCACATACTGACAATTTTTTTACATTCTCTGGGTGCATCTTAGTCATTAAAATAAAGATAAAGGTGAAAGAGTTGTGCTAAATGATGGTGCTGGGGAAAAAACTTGTTTAATGGTTCATCCTCTGGGTGGCAGGAATAGGTTCAGTAAGTTTCATGTCAATATTTTGTGTGTAAAATTGGTGGCACTAGAGAAACTTGCCTTATTATCATCTGGGGATGATGAATATCCGCAGTGAAAGTAATAAAAGTTTGGTTGTAAGTTTCTGAGTTGTCGTAGCTCCTTGTCATGTTTTCGTCGAGGAGAAACTGAAAACTGAGTTTCTTTTGTTTTGTTTGGCCAGTGATGCGTTTGCAAAGCTGCTTGAGTCGGGCGACCTGAAGTGCAGCTCTGTCAGACTGGAGGGAGTCAACATGCCCTTCCACCACCTACTGGCCAGGATCTGCTTCCACCACCATTTCTCTGGTACATATACACAACAGGCCGTTTGATATTTGTCTCGAACGACAGAGTTTTGTCTTAAAATGTCATGGTACCAGATGGGTAGGGTGCTCCACACAGTTTGTCAGGAATGTATGACATCAACGGGAAGTATTTCAAAGCTTAGTATGTTTCGGTCATGGTGGACTGAGTATTTCTGACACTTGTGTTCTTTTTGTCGTTGGATTAGTTGTGGAGAGGATCGACTCCTGTGCCTCCATGTACAGCAGGTCTATCCAGGGTCACCACGTCTGTCTGCTGGTCAAAACTGTGAGTGCACCAATGAAACTTCTCCCTCATCTTTTTTAATCACCAATTATTATCATTATGTTTCCGAAAAGTGGACTTTCAGATTGTGAGCTTGATTGTCTCTCTCTGTCCTTCCCTCCTTCTCCCAGTCCGGCGAGACAGTGTCCATTGACGCTAAATGTGACGAGCCGACGCTGCTTGGGAATGTGCTGGATGAGATCAAGCAGACCTTCTCTCAGTGCTGATTGTGTCCGACAGCCCCAGGATGCCCCCCCCCATGCCACCCCTCCTCCCTCGCTGAAACACAACATAATCATGTTACGAAACACTGCGGCTGGCACCACCAGTATCGCCCTATTTATTAGTCCTCAGATTTGCAACATTTCTATCCCCTTCCCTTCTTCTTCTTCTTCTTCTTCTTCTTCGGTGATTGTCGCTCCGCACTCTGAGCTCTGTGGTCACTCCCCGACACTTGATGTTGTTTTACAGACTCACTGTGTACATGCGTCGTCTTCTCTGCAACGCACTTTTCATCTTTACTTCCTGGTTTTCCAACCCCCCCCCCCCCCCCCCCCCCCCCCCCCCCCCCCCCCCCCCCCCCCCCCCCCCCCCCCCCCTCCCCAACAGCCACTATGATTCTGTACTGAGCTCCTGTTTCTGGATGTCCTGCATCCTCTGCTCTTTCCTGTGTACCTCTCTCCGCCATCCACTCTGTCGGCAATTCAGTTTGTGACTGTCATGTAATGTAATGTTGACAACTGGACTTTTGCTGTTGATGGTTGAATTGTGATTTTACTGTTTTGAAGGTTTTGTCTTCGGTTTTTTTTTTTTTTTTTTTTNCTTTTTTTTTTTTTTTTTTTTTGTCTGAAACCCGTCTGCGCCTTCGTCTCGCCCTCCTTCTCTCTGCCCACTAAACATCAGTGTGCGTGCTGCTCGGCTTTTCTAGGCCTGGAAAAAAACTATGTGACTGACTCTTTCTCAGACTGGTCCAAGCTGGAAACAAATAGGGACTCTTAACCTGCTCACCCACCACTGACCTGGTGCCTGGAGAACACCAGACGCCGACCACCTGCAGCTTCAGTAGTGCAGAGATGAAACCACAGCTACATACAAGGCATGGGGGGTTTAGACTTGCCCTACTTGCCTTTTGGCTCAGAGCAAATCTGCCAGTGTTAATTCAACACAATCCTTGTGTGGCACTACGGGTGATTTGTACAGTAGATCAGTGGTTTTGCTCTGTGCCTTAGCGGCGCAGTCTGACCTACTCCGGCGCTCCATGAGTCTCGTTGAGCCCCACCTCCCTCCCCAGTTCATCTGCTCCCTCATCAACTGTGCTAAACTGCAGTTTGATTCCCCAAGAACTTCCAACATATCATTTCCTCCATGAATCAATTAATTTGAAGGCAGGAGTGTATAAAAATGAAATGAAACTCCAGGGTGGAAGTGTACAGTGTAATGTGAGGGTCAGGCCGGTGCCACCTTTATCAGCCTCCTCTTAAACTCACATAGTTTGTAAAGATGTTATATTACTGTAATGCTCAGAAGGATACAGTTATATGGTGCTGAGGGCCCTCGTTTGTGTCACCATGTGGTCAAATTAGTGACAGAATAATGAGGTGTAAAGAGAGCTGCTCATGTTACATCACTATCCTGGGTAGGTCAAATATGGCTGGTTAAGGGACGACACTATCAACCTGGCTGTAGTTTAAAACCTTCAGGTTCTCTGTGAGCAGAGGCTGTGAAGTGGTCGGTGGTTTTAGGTTCCCTTTCAATCAGTATTAGGCAACGTGTACGGAAGCCTCCACTCTGCTGTTTTGTCTGTTTTCATGTGAAATCATGCGCCTGTGCCGCCGCGACGTTTGCATCACAGTAGCTGCACCCGGACCCCCAGTGTTTCTTTCCCCCTTCAGAAACTGCCTTGCCATTTTTTGTGCATTGACATATGATGATGAACATGGATGGCTGTTGTTTTTTTCTCAAAATGGCCGCCTCTTGGAGGTACTTGATGTTTTAGTTTGTGTCATTCATGTCTGATGTCACTACCCGGTCCAGCACGACTTAACCTCATAGTAGCAGCAAGATAAAAACTGACTCGGTAGCGTCTCTGATCATATATATACCGGTAAGGCCCTCTTCACATCTGTCTGCTGTTGTAGATAATGACTATGATAATGATGTCTGTGACCTGGAGATCAGGTCAGCCATTCCACGAGATCTTCTGTGCAGTGGTAGAGTCTGAATACAGAAGTGATCGGCTGTATTTCAGGAATGTCAATAGAAAATAAGTATATGTATTCCCTGTTCCTGGAAACGACTGATGTAAGAAACTGAAAAAAAAAAAACCTCCCCTAATCATACATTGTCCTGATTCTGATCATTCTCCTGTGCATAATATTTGATTAAAATTTGTATATTGCATGATTAGGAATGTACACTTTTTATTTCCTTTTTATTTCTGTTCCATCGACACACTTAGACAAAGAAAAACTCATCATTCCATTTTGTCCTTTTTTTCTTTATAGTTTTTTTTATGAAGTTTACTTGACCATTCTCTGTTTTTGATGGTATTGTGTTTTTATCTATTCTAAGTTCAGACAATTAAAAAAAAAAAAAGGTTATCGTTGAATGTTTTAAATTATTAAACACGGGGAAGGAAGGGGGTTATATTCGGTGTCATGGCACTGAGGGCGTGGGGCTCCGAATAATAAGTAAAATAGGTCACATGAAGCAGTGTACTGAGAGACGACCCACTCTGTCTTAATTCTCTATCGGTTCAGTTGTAGTGAGTTATTTTACCAAGTTTGGCTTGTGACATTGAAATATACTCTCGTATGACTTTGACTTTTGGAAGGTCCTGTCTTTTTATTTCTCCATATTCCATTATCAAGCTGTACAATGTAAATGTTTTAAAGGGGACAACATAAATTATCTACATTCCCTTTAAAGAAAGTCCACCCAAATTAAAAATAAAGGCTGTAAGAATCTGCTGTAGTCATTTTTTGTGTTACAGTGAAACAATAAACACCCACATACGCCAAAATGTTTATATATTCTGTGTATGAGACAACAGATGGGTAGCAGAATAATGTGTGGAGGAGGTATGGTGTTTTTATATTTCTTTAAATGTATTTCTAACACATACAGACTGTTGTTGGCACTTACACACTGGATGTGTTGTTAACAAGATGTGTTGCTTTGAACTTCACATCCCAGAAAGCCTTGCGTGACAGTAGAAGTAACTGAGACCACTTTGCTGACTGACAGCGAGCAGCTGAGTTTAGTAAAGTTCAACTAACAAAGCCAGACGTTTTGGTTTGATAGTTTAATGTGTAAACAGCTTATCTGAACGTAAATGTCTTTGAGTTGACTCTCTTTTATACGTTTAAAAAACACGCCGAAGGAGGAGCCGTGCTACATTTCGTTAGCATCGCTGTCAAGCTAACCGGGGTAAGTTTCCCACATTCACTGTCAAAATAAAAGCCCCACCTGAAACGTTAAAGCTTCAACAGCAAGGTGGGACATTAACTTCTTAAAATGGGAACATCTACCAGCCACTGACGGTTAAATGTTCAAATTTCTCAGCAATTGTAAATCTTTTTTTTTTTTTTAAATCTACTAGTCACTTTAATATTTCACCAGCATTTGTATGGTGGCAGATGCTTATTTCCCACCCTGGTCAATGGCTGAGCTAAATGTCTGTTGAGTTGTCAAATTCAAGAGAAAGTGTTTATCTTTGCTATATATTTATTATATTTATCAATACTACTTAATTACATCTGATTTAGCTTTAAGTATCATTGTTTAAGGAGTGATTTAGTTAGGGACTGTTCTTAACTTAATAGAGGAGGAGGTGATTTTGTTATATCATTATTATTATTATCACCATTAGTAGTAGTGGTATTTTGACTCTCTCTAAAGCTAAAAATATTTTACCTTGACCTTCCCTGAGTGACTGGCAGAAAATGCACGACCCTCCCTCCAACATAAATTAGTTATTGGATTATATAAAACTTACCCAGGTAGCCAAAATGACCTGGCCCTGAACTTGGCATGCCTGATGAAATTAGCCAGGCTGAGTCTGGTTGCCCAACTCAGCTGAGACTTGGCATGAATAACGCCCCAGAATCGGGCCAAATCAGCTTGCCCGATTCCAGCTGTAGGCACTGCCATCACTAGGCCTTTAACAGAAATGACTTGGCCCAGCATCGGTCCAAACTCAACATGCCGGATGAAATCAGCCGGTCTGCATCCGGTCGCTTCACTCGGCTGAGAGTTGGTATGAATGATGCCCCAGAATCATGCTGAATCAGCTGGCCCGATTATGGCCGCCATCACTGGGTGCCCTTTTGATGTTTAAAAGTTAAGGTTTAAGTTGAAAGTCTGAGTTGAAGACTCAGTTTTTCACTTATCCTGCATGCTGGTTATTTGTAGGTCAAATTTTAAATGAGACATAGAATAAAATGATTTTGATGACATATCACTATTTTAAGCTCAGATTTATTTTCTATTTTTTTTTCCTGATGGAAGCGTTCCTCGCACATGATGTGTCCAAGGATTTTCAGAAATGTGAAGATCCAGATAGATAGATAGATAGATAGATAGATAGATAGATAGATAAAATTGTCTATGACTTCTCTCAAAAATCAAAGGTACAGACAAACACACAACACAATACACCACTAAAGAAATTCAGTGTCACAATATATATGATTGTAACAGTGCTAATAGGCAGGTGGGAGCAATACATTGAATAAATAGCAAAGGAGAGCACAGATGGTGCAAATGGTGTAATATTGGTGATTTTCAAAGAAAACATGCTAGTATCGGAAGTATGTTTATCAGGTTTTCTTTCAAAATTGGCTGTAAAATAAATCAAAAATATAACCACTTAGCCATGAAGCCAAAATAAAAAAACACAAGTCCCTCCTCAGTGCTTGAAAAATAAATTGACATGCCTCCCTCTTTGTGCACCATCCTCTCCTCTCATAAGTAATGAACAGTCCCATAGAGCTAACACTAAATAGCCTGAAAACCAACGGAAAGTGATTTAATACATGCAAAATCGAGTAAGAGAAAAACACCTTTGTGATACGGGGGTATAAACAATAATAATAATGATAATAATTAATACACGGTAAAGTTGTTAAAGCTGTTAAATATGGAACAAAAACGTATTTTTAAAAAGGCTAAAATGAGGGCTTTATTTTGAAACCAGTAACCGGAAGTGGAGCCGACATCGTATGTGACTTTGACAGTTGGTTTAGATCGTCGTTAATAACTGGGGCTCCCCGGGATTGTTCACAACAACAGAGGAAGCCGCACCAGCTCTGACCAAATAAAGCCCCGTCGCGATTTTTAGATCCTGTTTTGGAGCCGTACTAACGGAAACCAGCGTTAACGCGTTCCTGTGCGGAGGGCTCCGGTCTCCCTCTCATAGCTATTGTTTGTACCGAGCTAGCTTTGTCCTTCTTTGCCGTCACAGCTGTGCTGGGTTGCTGAGATATATTTATACAACTCGTTGTGGAATATGGCTCAGCATGGACTTCATGTAGCCAGTTCCCAAAAAGCACTAATGCTGGAGATGAAAAGTCTCCAAGACGAGCCGGTCGAGGGGTTCAAAATAACTTTGGTGGACGAGTCGGACATGTACAACTGGGAAGTGGCGATATTCGGACCCCCAAATACACACTACGAGGGTGGTTATTTTAAGGTAAGTAGCTAATGCTTAGCTAGCAGTCGACCTATTGTTCTTTAGCTGGTACATTTAGCCCACATTTATGTAGTTTACACATAAAGGAGAGCCTAACTGTTAACTCCAGCCTCATATTAACCGTCCTCACCAACAGCAGGTAACAGTTAATAAAGCTAACTTAGCTAATTGGCAGTTGTTCTCTCTTTAACGTTACTGTGATAAAACACTCTGCTTTCTTTGTTCAACTTTAAACTCCACTCACTCAGCATTGTTGCACTTTATTGTTGCCAGATTGTAAAGCAGGACACCTGTTTTTCTAAGGGTTATTTTGATTTAAAATACAGATTCACTGAGGTGCTTTATAGTGACAGGCAGCACATGATCATGTTTGGCAGAGTTACTTCTGTGTTCACATGAAACAAAAGGTTGTTAGCATAACCGCCCTGATCAGAGCCAAGCTCATAATCTCACTAACTCAGTCATTTCCCTATCACTACAAATCATCAGCCAGGGGTTGAGTAGGCTTTTTGTTTGTATATTCTAATGAACTAAATCCAAAATGCATGGTAGCCTTGCTCCATACAACCCTAACACTAAGTTAACCCATGCATGCATACATACATGTGTCATTTTCATTTGTTTTCTACCACACTTCCTCTCTTGAGAGTGAAGATGAGTTGGTTTCACAGATGTGTTTTCCTGTTTACGACTATCTCTGTTATTGACAAAGAGGGTTGGCAGCTCAAAAAGCATCAACTAACAGGATAACTGCTGAATTGCATTGGTAAAAAAGCACTTAAGTTATTTTTAGAGTTACAGGCATGTGCACTCTACATTCATTTTCATGTCTCCAAGGCTGCGACCTGTCAACTACTGTTTTTTGTACTTTTTTTTTTATCCAAAAAGTGCAGCTCAAAGTCACACACCTACATTGTAAACACAGACTAACATAGCATCTGTTGCCATAACAGAAAGTCCACTGTTATTCATCTCAAACCTAAATAAATGTGTGAAAACCAACTTTAAGATATTGCAAAACACTGAGGGGATTGTGGCTTACCCATGCCCCATGCTAAAATGGTTACTCGTCCTATAAAGCACTGTGATTTATTACTTTGTCTGGCAAAGTCAAATAAACCCCTGTTAATGCTGATTCAAACTTGCCCTACATCGTTGTTTTATTGGACATCAAATAAAAAATAATGAGCTTTTATGAAGGTGGCATAATGATCCCGTCTTTCTGGGGAGAAAAGACAAAAGTAATGTAGGTCAGGGCTTTAACAGAGGAAGAAATTTGTCTTTGAGTAGCAAACAAAAATAACAACATGCTCGAATTGTACATGGTCTCTTTACAAGGGCTTTTTGTTAAGGGTTTGTAATGTTAAGTCTCACATTAGCCATAGTTGTTTCCATATTTACAGCTAAACTCATGTATCAGTAAAGGCTCCCACTGTGTTTGGATTAACCAGCATGTTGTAGCTGCTCTCCTTGTAAACTATCAATTCAGCGATTAAGTGCCGTGTCCTTCCAGTTCTTGAGAGGCTTGTTAATTTCGCCTCAGGTCTTTTTCAACACAACCAGAGGGCCCTGGCCAGGCTACTGTAGACTGTTTTCAGTGTGTCCGTGTGGGTGCTGTGTACAGGATTCCTTTGTCGGGCCAGGAATGCACAGCCTGGCTGTGAAATCCACCGCATGGTTGTGACTCATTGTTCTCTGCTGGGTTTCCATCCAACCAGTTTGCCATATTCCAACAGAAAAGAAAAAAAAAATAAATCCACCCAGGTCTGATCCAGGTTACCCAAACAAACAGTCATGCCGCAGCTGCCTGTTCATCCGAAACAGGGCAGGTGATGACGTCATGCAAAACCTGGCTGAGTCAGGTATTTATTTCACATGGGTGTTGCTCCGACAGAGTCACACTATGACGAATTCATTATGACTGCAGGCACACACCGGACTGAGACATATTGAAGTGTCATTCAGACATTAGATAACTGCCCTGGATCCACAACACAAGCAAACACCTATCACAATAACTTGACCGTTGACCTGTTGGTCTCACAACAGGCCCTGATATGGACATTCATTCATTGGATCTGAGACATTTCCAAGATTAAAGTCCTTTTGTGTGCGCGCCTTCTGCTTTGTCATGTGAAGTATCCCTCCAGGCTTTGAGTGTCTGATGATTACTGGCAGAGGGCCAGACAGTTCCATTGCCAGCGGTGGTCCTTGGACATGTATGAAGCAGATTAGCTGGGTTGCTCTCACTTAAAGTAGACTTTAAGGAGTGTTTGGACAGTGACTCACCACATGTGTTGTTGTTGAAAACTGTGGAATGGGGTCATCTTTAACAACTGTCTAATAATCATGACCAAAACAAGTCATTTTTTATCTCGTTTGGTTGTCTAGTAGACCCCTAGTACATGTTTGATTCCCTCTCTCAGCTGTTTCTTGGTTCTCTTCTGACATCTCTGCCTTCTCTTCTAGTACTTTCTTGACCTAGGGGAAGTTTCACAAAATCAAGAAGTGAGACTTTGGTGTTTATATGAAATAGTACAGTCATACTTGTACTAATGTCACTCCACAACCATTACAGCTGACTTGCAAGTATTCAATATGTCATCAGGAAAAAATGACTCCCTTGTTACAGTGATCATTTGCTTTTTTTAGATGTCGTTTTTGGATCTGGATTTGGATCCCCAATCAGGAACAAGTGCAGTTTCACAGTTTGTGAGTGCTTGCACTGTTGTCTGATACTGGCAATATGGAGGTAAACTTGACAATGTAGTAATTCATGGGACTTGTCTGCATATCGTGACCTAAGCCATAACTGATCTCTGTTCAAGTGAACTTCCTCATAAACAAGCCAAAAGTATTTACTATACTTTTCAAGGGGCCTGGACTCTGTATGGCCCCTAATGGGCTCAACTAGGCTTTACCTTACATGGCATAAAGTAGAGCATATCTGAAGTTCTGGTTTATGTTTTGTGAAGTACTAGTTCCTTCACCACCTACGTGAATACAAAAAAAATCCCAAATTATTGACTTTTGTTGGAGCTAGTTAGATAATTCAGCTTTTTGTTATATTTGAACTCTCAGTTCTTTGTATTTCTCTATATATTTTTATTTGAATATATTGTGTTGCTGTCGCCTCCTGTTTGGTGAAATATAACACAACCTACCACATTTACTGTGCTTCCGTGCTCTCCATGTTGATCCGCTTATTGGGTTAATAAAACAACAAGGGCAACCATAAAGACGTGTGCAGGTTCATAAACTGCACCTGGGAACTACAACATTGCTGTTACTGGTACGCACCAGTCTGCCAGCTCACATTTGGCAGATTTGACCCCTTCCTGCTCCATTTTGTGTCATGCACCAGGACAGCAGAAAAAAGGCACTGTGCTTTATATCCACAACTATAAGGTCACAGTCACGGTGATGAACAACAGAAACTGTGTGTGTGTGTGTAGTGACAGAGCTGCACTGCTGTGAGAGAGCCTGGGATCTGTGAAATTGGACGGGTGACCGTGATTGAAGTGCTGCTGTGTCAGCATCTGGCAGCCTTAATTGTCATTTTTATTGTGTGTAATTATGACGTACATGGGGTCTCTGCGACTCGAAATATACTCAGAGACAGAACATCTTTCATATCTGAGTCATGTGGTGTTTTCAAGTGGCTTACTAAACACTGACAGACCGCATCTTCACAGCAAACATGAAAAAGAGGGGTGTTGCCCTTTGGTTTGGCCCAGGCCTGTCTGTCTTTTTCAACTTCAGACAATCAGTCGACAGACACTCAGCTCTGTTGCGCAGCTGACTCTGTGCCTTCCTTCCTTCCTCCTCAGCTGCGTGCAACATGATTCGCACCAGCTCCATGTTAGCCTCGCAGTTAGCAGAGGAGGGAACAGGCAAGAGGACCCAAGCCGGCTGCAGAGGTCTCGGCTGGGCCGAGCCTGGCTGAGCTGCCGGAGTCATGTTTCCCCCTCTGGCTGTGTCGCAGAGAAACGAGAGCAGGGCAGAGGAAAGAAGAGGGAATACAGAAACTGCCAGATCAAGAACAGGCAGAGCCCTTCCTTGCAATGGTGCCCCTTTTGAAAGGAGAGCCTGCTGTGAATAGAGGTGAGCGTGAGGCCCCAGCAGACAGTTATAACCGTCCCCTGAAGGCCTGGCCATGTGTTCTTGTTCTCTTCCTGTATGGATCGGCAGTGAAACATGGCTGAACAGGCTGTTTGTTTGATATTTCTACATGTTGCAACCACCAGAGAATCAGTCTGTAACATAACTTCAGCTTTTGATCCTTCTCCTTCTGCTCCACGTTCTCCTCCTGGGTTTAGCTAATGAGGCAGAGGCCTACTGGGTATGAACATGATAATCTCTGGGACCTCTACATGTATGTTAGGGTATGGAATTTGCTCTACACAAGGACCTTTTCCTCGTCATTCACTGTGAGTGTGTGTATGTGAGGATAAGGTCTGTAGAGAAGGTAAAGAGGTGCTCCGGGAGAACAGAATGATTTGTTCTGTTCAGGGTCTTTGCATTGACCTGGTTTACTTCGCCTTGCTGTCATTTTCCACAGGGTGGGCGCGTTCACTCTCATTCCTGTTCTCTCTTCAAGGCAGCTTTTTTAGCTCACAATCCAAGAAAGATTTTTCACAGAACGAGGACATTGATCTTGCATTCTCTGTAACGAGCCTTTCAGGAGTCCTTTTTTTGCGTGCTTGGCAGGAAATTGGCTGCACTTCAAATGAGCTGTTCGGGGTCACTCACCTTTTGACCGTGGATGCTGTTAATTCTGTGCCCAATCCTATTATGAGGCATGACATGCAAGTCAGCTGTAGCATGTTCAGGAAGTGTACTGAGGCTAGCACTTTCTGATGGGCAGAGATCCTCTCTGAGCTGCTGTATCTGAAGCAAAAAGTCCTTCCCAGTAGTGGAGGCACAGTGACAGAGAAAATAGTGGGTGTAAAGGCTAATATGTGTGTGTATAATAGGTAAGTCAATATGAGGATGATCCCTGGAAACTCAAAAGAGAAACCTGATATTGGCTTTCTAAGACTACACTGCATCGTCTGCTCTTTTCTTCCTCCGATTCATGTTTCTTCTCCTCTGTGCTCGGTGCTGATGAGATAGCAGAGGAGCCGCTGCAGAGCAAATGAGCCAACCAAGCAGCCCGTCTGTGTTTAGGCCAGCTCCGTCACACTTCTCTGCCCCGTCCATCCATCTTCTCCACCCTCCGTCCATCAAACCAGGGTTTGGTGTCACCTGGGTGGACAGGTCAAGTGTTTCATTCCCTTCCCCTGCTGCCAGAGTGACCTGCTATCTTCTGGTCAGTGAAGTCTAAAGACACAGATACACCAAACTGACACCAAGAACTAGTGCAGTGCCTCATGTCGCCTGTGTTTCAGCCAAAAAAGATGCGCCTGAACACACGGTAAAGACTACAGCCAACTAGCAGGTATGTTCTGCATCTGCGAGGAAATAACTCAACATAGTCACAGGCGGCGGTAGTCTGGAAGGAAGTTGAAGGACTGATAAGACTGATTCAAGACACTAGTTAGCCAGTTAGCACATTAATAACACAAGCAGAGGTTGAAAGAACAAAACATATTTACTGTGCCCTGGCAAACAACACAACTGCTAAGAAAACATATCTTACCTCATATTGTCTAAACGATTAAACGTCCGCCCCCTTGCTAGTCGGCACCAGAAATATTAGTCGGTTAAACCAATTCGTGTTTAATTCATGTACAAGGCGTCCTAACTGTCATGCAGCCGACCGCCACTAGTGGGTGCTACAGAGCCGTCAGACAGCAGTCCCCGTCCCGCGGTAATGCTCAAGTAGACTGGAGTTTGAAAACCGCATGGTGGGAAACTGGAGAAATGTCCTCTCACAAAACCAGCGCGGTTTGGCAGTACTTTAATCTAGAAAATGAATTCAGCAGCAATCGATCTTTTTTGAGATGTTATATTATTTGTTAGCTTTAAGTGAATGTTGTCAGATAATGTGCAGGGTTTACATTCATACTGCACGGTGCAAATTCCAGCTGAAATTTATTTATAATTCACATGTTGTTTTATTAACTTTGAAGAGAATTGCTCTCATTTATGTTGGATAATCTGCAAGGTTCAACATGTCCCTTTTTTAGACTAGTCGACTAGTCTTAATTATAATTTTGGTTTAGTCGACAGGGAAATTAGTCACCAGGAACATCCCTAGTTGCAATATCGTATTGTCACACAGTGCCAAGTTGCAATATTGTAAATATATAAATTATTGATATCACAAAAGCAAATTAAAGATTAGGTAGCCAACTAGAATAATATAATGAATTGCTTTTTCAGTCCACTAGATACATTTTGCTGCAAATAAATGGCTGAAGTGAGTTGAACAGACTGAAAACTTTATTAGATAAAACAGATGCTGACAAAGTTTTTCTCTGGGGACACAATTTACAGTTAAAAAAAGTGATTTAAAAAGTTGGAATAATATTGTATGGTGACTAAAGTATCGTGATAATATCGTATTGTGGATCCTCTGGTGATTTCTACCCCTAATAACAAGTTTGTTTTGATCTCACTCCCTCTTGACTTCAGCTGTTTCCTTCCTTTCCTCACTTCCTTTTCTCTTCTTGTGCACTGAGCTGAACTGATAGTCGGAGTGACTTCATTCACCAACGGGCTCCGCCGTCTCTAATGTAGATTCAACACGCTGACATGCCAGAAAAAAAAGCCAACAAGGGCTGGCAAGACATGACACTAAAACTAGGACGACAGACGTTCACCGGTGGCCCTACAGTGACCGAATGTTGCTTGTTGTGTCAGGACCTAACACCACATTACTGGTAGTTTTGGGGTCTTCAGTACGGCCTGTAGCACCCCGTGCCTGAAAGGACTATCCCATTGCCTGGATGGAGCTTCAGGACCCATTGCTCTGCAGTTCCGATGGTTTTAAATGTAGTTGGTGCTGCTCCAACCACACGCAACATTTATTTTTCCCTCCTTCAGTTGTCTGCTGACTTTGTCAGTCTTATTTTTTGATATTATAGAGCTCCAAATGGGGACTAAATGCATTGTGTATGATACAGTTTGTGACATAATATCACCAGGAATATGGTTTTAAAGCCTCCTGTAAGCTGCATTGTGAAATCATGCTCTTGCCTTCTCAAAGGGATCAATGCTTATTCTTAATGCATAACCCCACCTTCCTGCTTTACTTGTGGCTTACGTTCAGACTCACAGGATTGTGATGAATGAAGCCATTTAACGGGAAGAGTTGATGCTTTGGTCTCAAAGCAAAAGGCTACAAAGTAGGATCAGTTTTTACTCAAACATATACATGGGCATAAAGATCCTATGTGTTGTGTAGTTGGTACCAATTCTCTGGTGTCACCACAGAGTTTGGTTGCTCTGGTTTGCTGTCTGGTGTTGGACAAAGTGTTTTTTTTGTTTCCAAGATATCCTAAAAAGTGAAATTATGAGACTGGTTAGAAAGACAGTTCTTTGCCAAAGGATTTTGATTCTGGTGGTGTGTTTTGGGGATATAAAAAAAACCCATAACAACGCCGGAAAACTAAAGACGTACGGGGCCCTCAGGAGTCAAGCTGCTCAAGAGCTTTCCATTCACACACTGTTTTTTGTTGGAAAATCAAACCTGGAAAACCAACAAAGATGAACCACTTTACCCACTGGGAGTGTTGGCACAGCGTTACCTTCAGCCGAATGCCCTCTACTTCTCTTTTACACCATCTCTTTTACACCATTTTGAAGTGGACCAAATGTTTTCTAAAAGTAATACCGAATGACAGCTGTCCACATGGAGATTTCCCAAATGTACAAGATAGTCTTTGCCTCCTTCTCAGCCAGTGGACAGATACAATCTTGACGCTGATATTGTTTTAGGAGACAAACCCAGCTCTCACTGTTGTTCCCCCGGCCCTCCTCTTCCTCCCTCGTCCTGGCTGGCTGCTACGTGTTGCACTGCTGCCAGCCTGTAATGTGTACAATGTTGGCCTGAACCCTGCACTCTGAAGGGCCGCCAGCTTTCTGGCAGGGTCAGTCAGACCCGGGGAATTTTTTTTTTTTTTTTCCTACGGGCGGCATTCTCACAGGACTGTGTCAGTGTTTCCTCTCCACTCTGGTTTACATGGTGAGAGCAGGTTTATTCTGCAAATCGGGGTTGCGTCAGGCACCAAATACAAGAAATGTTGCTCTTGTGTGGACAGTCGGGACACACTGACACACGTATGTGCCTGCTACATCCAGCTCGGTTTAAATACTGCATTGCACGCAAGGAAGGATAAGACCTTAATGTTAAGCACAAGTATTAAATAGAGCACAACCCCTTTTATATTCCAAGTGAAATCCCCCCCATCCTCCCCCCACTCCCATGCAGCCGATCCCCCTGCCTCCCACTCGACGGTTCACTGTGGTGACGACCAGCTGACCATGCCGAATCAGCAAATGTGAACAAGTGTGTGTATGTATATGACAGGGGAGGGGGATCAGCAGAAGGTTTCATGCTGTGAGTGACGTGCGTGTGTGTAATCAGTGTAGTCGGTGTGTGTGTGTGTCCCCTCTTTTCCCATCCATGGCACGCCTTATGGAACGGGAGGAGGGGATCTCCACACAGTAGCATTTATACAGTGGGTGTGGTTTTTAGTGTGAGGACATATAATAGCAGAACACGGGTGTGAGTAGTGGATTGTCTTGGGTTGCAGCAGTGACAGCTGGAGAGGACAAACCCCCACAATGTCTTTATACCAGCAGCTCCCCCCCCTCGCCCATCGGTGTGTCTTTAAGCTCCACACACTCAGCAGCTGAATGCACTGCGAGCCTCCCTCCCTCCCTCCTGCCTCCACACCATATTACATTACACTGTCATTAGCTCCTCCATGCTCAGCCACCTCAGTAGGGTTTGCCATGACTCCACAGCTACTATTTTTAGGTTTCTTTCAATCACTATTGACGCTGATCAGCATGATTGTGGAGCTCTTCATTCAGCAGCTGCTTGTTGACACCAGTGCTGCAAACAGAGGTCTTTGTGGGGAAAAACGTTGAGAATGAGGCACTCTCTCTCTCCCCAGCAGCTGTCCGTGTGTGTGTGTGTGTGTGTGCATGTGTGTGCATGTGCGTGTGCGCGTGTAGCTTCTGCGGCATTGTACAGACTTGCATTCTGGATTCAGTTACGCCTGGGAGGCTGTGTCCAAAGGCACAGTATTTTTTACAGAAAGTATGTGTAGGTTTTCTTTAAGCAAGCGACACCACGAATGTGCTATAAGTGGCCTTACTACTAAAGGAATCGCCCTTTACTTTCCATGTACACTGGAGACAGTAGGGCTCTTTTGACCTAAGTAGTGTAAATTGCTCTTCCAAACAGCAGTAGTTTTGAGGGGAGTAGTCATGACTTGTCTGTTGGCAAGAGAAAAGTGTGGATAAACTGCCTGCCTCTCACGTTGCTAATATGTGTCTTCTCTCACCCTCAGGCTCGGATCAAGTTCCCCGTCGACTACCCATACTCTCCACCTGCTTTCCGATTCCTCACCAAAATGTGGCACCCCAACATTTATGAGGTAACTCTAACCAGTATAAATCCGTTGACAAAACAGTTCAGGAGCTGATTATACCATGACTGGGGCTGGGTGTCATTTTTGATACCAACACCCATGCCTTGATTTTAATACAGGTTCCTGAGTAATACTATTTTCCTAACCAATTTTATAAACTCCATTTTGACAAAAAGGAAATTACATTACACATTAGGGTACAAATCTTCACTTTTATTTTTCAGCTCCTTGGCATGTGTACACACATAAAGTCGTATCACAACATAAAAAATATAAATGTATTTATTACAGTGTGGTTTAACTAAAGTTGTCTGTTTCAGCTGTTTAGTTTTATTCTTCAGCACCTTGGCATTTTTCCACTCAAAGTAGTTTTACAATATAATAACTAGAAAATGTATTTCCTGCTGAAAATGGGTGTGGATGTTGGATGTTGAAATTAGTTCAAAATCATGGCTGAAAAAGCAGAAATATTAGTAATAGAAAAAGTAGCTCTAGTTGTAGTAGTAACAGTAGTAATTACGGTGGTAGTAGTAGTCAAAGTAGTAGCAGCAGTAGTTGTAGAAGTAGAAGTGGTACTAATAGTAGTAGTAGTTGTGGTAGTAGTAGTACTATAGAAATAATAGTAGTCAAAGTAGTAGCAGCAGCAGCAGTAGTAGTAGAAGTAGTAGTCAAATTAGTAGTAGTACTAGCAGCAGCAGTAGTTAGTTGTCGTAGCAGTGGCAGTAGGTCATACCTTACAAAGCATACAAATTTGAACAGAGGCACAAACACCATTAAAGAGCTTAACATTTTGACATTTGAATGGTTTCTGTAGCTGAAAGTGTGTAGAAGTAGTTACCAATCAAAAAATGTAATAGTAGTAGTAGCAGCAGCAGTAGCAGCAGGAGTAGCAACAGCGTAGAAGTGGTAGAAGCAGTACTACTAGGAGGAGGAGGAGGAGGAGAATTAGCAGTAGTTGTAGTCATAACAGTAGTTGTAGTAGTCAAAGTAGCAGTAGCAGTAGTATTAGTAGTAGTGGTAATTGCAGTATTAGCACTAGTTGTTGTTGTAGTAGTAGTAGTAGGTCATACTTTAAAAAGTAGAAAAATTTGAATAGAGGCACAAACGTCCTTAAAGAGCTGAAAGTTTTGACATTTGAATGCTTTCTGTCACTGAAAGTGTGTAGAAGTAACAACTAATCACAAAATGTACAGGAGAAGTCGTAGTGATAGTAGCAGTAGTTGTGGTAGTAGTAGTAGTACTATAGAAATAATAGTAGTTGTAGTCAAAGTAGTAGCAGCAGCAGTAGTAGTAGTCGAATTAGTAGTAGTAGTAGTAGTAGTAGTAGTAGTAGTAGTACTAGTAGTAGTACTAGTAGTAGCAGTGACAGTAGGTCATACCTTACAAAGCATACAAAGTAGACAAATTTGAATGAGGCACAAACACCCTTAAAGAGCTTAATATTTTGACATTTGAATGGTTTCTGTAGCTGAAAGTGTGTAGAAGTAACAACTAATCAAAAAATGTAGTAGTAGTAGTAGTAGTAGTAGTAGTAGTAGTAGTAGTAGTAGTAGTAGTAGTAGTAGTAGTAGTAGTAGTAGTAGCAGCAGCAGCAGCAGCAGCAGGAGTAGCAGGAGTAGCAGCAGGAGGAGTAGCAGGAGTAGCAGCAGTGTAGAAGTGGTAGAAGCAGTACTACTACTACTAGGAGGAGGAGGAGAATTAGCAGTAGTTGTAGTAGTAACAGTAGTTGTAGTAGTCAAAGTAGCAGTAGTATTGGTAGTAGTGGTAATTGCAGTATTAGCACTAGTTGTTGTAGTAGTAATAGTAGGTCATACTTTAAAAAGTAGAAAAATTTGAATAGAGGCACAAACGTCCTTAAAGAGCTGAAAGTTTGAATGGTTTCTGTCGCTGAAAGTGTGTAGAAGAATTAACTAATCAAAAAATGTACAGGAGAAGTCGTAGTGATAGTAGTAGTAGCAGCAGGAGTAGAAGTGGTAGAAGCACTAATTCCACGACTACTAGTAGTCGTGGAATTAGCAGTAGTATTATTAACAATAGTCGTAGAGGTGGTAGTAGTAGTAGCTGTAATTGTAGTTATATAAGGTATATACATGACAAATGACACTAGATCCTGGTAAAATTAAATTTTAGGAGACTTTATAAATGCTTTTTTAAGACAAATTGTAGAAGAGTATGCAGCCCTACTATTTTAAACTTTAAATTGTGTCTGAGTGGTAATAACTATTATCTGAACATGTTGTTGTATTCTCGTGTCCTAGAACGGGGATGTATGCATTTCTATCCTGCACCCACCAGTGGACGACCCACAGAGCGGAGAGTTGCCTTCAGAGAGGTGGAACCCCACACAGAACGTCAGGTACACAACATAATGTTCTCTGTTCAGGTTATTTCTTAAGAAAACAGCACACAAAAACTAATAAGCATGGTTACTGTTTGTCCAGTGGCTCACAGCTGCTTCCTAAACTATAATTATTTGAATCATCTGTCAAACAGCCTCCCCCAAGCCAGTCATTAATCTTTTGTCAAATCAAGTAGTTATTATTTTCTCCGTTGACACTGTCCACTGTTCAGATATATTTGTGGTTGGGAGTCTGTTATTTCCAGAAGATTTGCACCATAATGTGAAGTCACATAACGACCATCCTCCTACTGTCCACATTTCCACCATTGTCTCATTGTGCACCAATCAATAAGGGCTAAAAGGCCTAACATAACATGCAGGTGGTCATGCAGCGTTACAAGACTGACCGCCAGCAAAGTTTTAAGATCGATTTCCTAACTACATAGCAGTATTTAGATTGATGTATTTTTCCAGCCTTTTAGGCAACCTTAGTTTCCTTCTTTCTGGTCATTGTAAAATATCTTCCTCCAGATTATGGCTGTCTAAAAATACCTGATAAACCTGCCAGTCACACACAAAATTCCCAAATTTCCCCCCCTTTTTGTTACGTGTTTCATATTACACACACTAACTATCCACAGTAAGGGGCCCTCTGTCGCCCCTGACCTGATGATCAGAAAACAAAATCAGTCCCACATTGTGTCTCAAGGAAAAAGGAGAGCCAGTGAGAGATCCCTAGTACAGAAGTTGATTCACCTGAGTCAAAGTAAAGTATAAATGATGTATAACACCATTGTCTGTCAGCATCTCTAATGAGCAGCTCTCGGAGCTAAATTTAACAGATGACAGCAGAGACAAATGGATGTTCTGGGCACTGTCCAATGTAACATTTTCCCCCTGCCAGCCCCCCGAGCCAGTTGAGAGATTTACAGGCCCCAGAAAAGGGATTTTTTTCTCGTTATTTTGATTTATTACTATACATAATATGCACAAAACACATGTTCTTTTTAGATTTGGTTGTTTTCCTTTAGTTAGCGATACGATATATGATATTGATATGTAAAACTGACAAATCACAGTTGCTGTTTTCCATGTTTTTATTCATTATAAACATATTTTGTGTTTATTTTAAACAGAAAACGGTTGTTTTATTACACCTAGATGTTTTTTTGTTTTTTTTTTTGGGGCACAACTGCTCTTCGTCAGACTTTTTAGTCTGCTCGTCGCTGTTCCTGCTTGCTCTGTACCAGCCTGCAGTGAGCTAGGAGCACATCCCATAATGATTTTTCACCTTCCCCTCATGTATTTCATCCAAACTCTAGGGTGTGGATACCTGAGCCCATGGGTTCTGATAACAAATTAGAAATTTTGCTCGGGTTTGGTTCAGGTACGGCCACTTGACATGCTGCTGTGTTCTGCTATGGCCTGTTCAAGTGCTGGAATTTGTTATTTACGTGACAACACCTGAATGCAACACAGGCCAATAGTCACATTTCAGGCAGGAGGCGGTGAATATTCAGACTGAACTAATGAAAATGGAGGACACTAGACAAAACTTGCCATCAGGAAAGTTGAAAACTGCCGAAAACCATGCTGGGAAATCAGGTAACAAACTGCATCGGGCTCGGGTCGGTTTGGACTTGAAATCAGAAAGTCTGTCAGGGTCAGGCCGGGCTTGGCTATAACTGTCTCAGATTCAGGTTGGGTTCAGTCAGGAAAATGAAGCCCGAGCTGACCCCTATTCCATCCCCCGTTTGTACATGTGTCCTTTTTTTCTGTCTTTCGTTCCATCTCTGTACACGTCCTTGTCCTGCACCCTCAGTGTCTTCGGTCTCGTCTTACCTCCATCTTCCCTTCCCCACCCTGTGTTCCTCTCCTTCCTGTCCTCCTCCCGTATTGCTTTCTTGGATTTTAATCTCTCTCCACTCTCTGACGTCTCTCTCAGGACCATCCTGCTCAGCGTGATCTCTTTGCTGAACGAGCCCAACACTTTCTCCCCGGCCAACGTGGACGCATCCGTCATGTACCGCAAGTGGAGGGACAGCAAGGGCAAGGACAGAGAATACATCGAGATCATCAGGTACCCAGCGGGGAAAAAAAACAGCACTCTTCACACTTTTAATGGGAGCTTGTCAGTGAAGCAGGTACACAGTGTACCAGCGTTGATGCTCTGCATGGACTCATCATTCTCTCCTCTGTCTTTACGCCTCACAGGAAGCAGGTGCTGGCTACCAAAGCTGACGCAGAGCGGGACGGCGTCAAGGTTCCCGTCACGTTGGACGAGTACTGCGTCCGCACCCAAGTCCCGCCCACAGACGACGGCTCCAACCTCTTATACGACGACTACTACGACGACGAGGAACTGGAGGAGGACGACGAGGACGACAACGAGGACTGTTGCTATGATGACGACGACTCAGGCACCGAGGACTCCTGACCTCGCCCCCCCCCCCCCCCCCCCCCCCCCCCCCCCCCCATGATGTCACATCCCCTTCGTCCCTGCCCTCACCCTCCCCTCATACACACACACTCGTCCCTCTCTTGTCATGGACTAAACTTTAATTCCCCGCCCCCTCTTTGTCCTGAATCGACCCCTCGTCATTTTCACTTAGCGCAGGCCTCCCTGTCCACCTTCTGTCACATGTGCAGTCACAGTATGCACACTAAAACCTGATGCATCGAAGAAAAGAAAGCTACAGAGTTGTTTTTTTGTTTGTTTCTTACATGTTTATTTTTTTTCCATTTGTTGTCTGAGTAGAGGTTACACACGATGCATACACAGCAGCACAACTCACAGTAATAGTACTTCCTCATCTGCTTCTGTTTGTCTGCGCTGATAATGAAATTTCCACAACAGCGTTTGAGAGCTCTGAGACCTGTTCCTTCCTCTGGCTTTCAGTGGAACAAAGCCTGACTGCTGGCCAACTTTCTTGAAGAAACTTTGGCGGAGGAACGGTCACGCCTTTTCTCGACATCATCAGCAGGGTGGAATGTAACGTCACAGGTCAGATCAGATCAGATTAACACAAGCAGGGAGCATTTACAGAGGAAGCAAATTTAGGAAAATTGGCTGTGTTTTGAGAAGCCGAGTCACTTCCGTCTCTGAGCCATGTGTGTGACCTCCGGTTAGCAGGCGCCATGCTTCACCTCTGACCTTTTTTTGAGCCCCAGGGCTTGTGCTGCTCCAAACAGGGAAGTTATCCATTTCCAAATGAAGCTGTTCACACTCCCTTGTGCCTTCCCTCACTCCCTGATATCACAGACCGGAATGACTTGTGGGACAGACCTTGTACACAGCGGGTCAAAGCAGCCTGACAAACAAAGGTGGCAGAGGGAGATATTCAAGCTCACAAGGTCTCAGGTGGGGATACCGTGCAAACAGCGCCCTCCTGATGGAACAAACTTATTTATAGCAGGAGTGTGAGTGAGAGAGGTGTACGATCCAACAGCTGAACTACAGACTGGAATGTAGAGCAGAATCCCACAACCGTCGTCCCGACTGCCACGCAGCCTTCATCATACGAGCACTTGCTACTAGTGGCCTGGATGCATTAAGAAACAGCTAGCTGAGCCTGCTGCTGCTCATGAAATCCAATGTACTGTATTAAAAAAACCTATGCAGTCAGTGCTTGTACCTACTTAATATGCAGTGCTTTAAACGTGGCAGTGAAGCTGAGCCTTTCAACAGTCTGACCCCAAACTCCAGCTTGAGTTTTACAACACGTGAGGGCTTTGGACTAACTGTGTCCTTCGGTTAGAGATGGACATGTGTTGTATCGTCTCCGTTTGCAGTGGGTTTGTTATTCCAACTCAAGAGTAGCACACCAGCTTTCATCAGAGCTCGCCCCCTAGTGGTCGTGGCTGTGTGTACAGGCATTTTCTGTCCCCCCCACTTCTCTGAAATGCTCGACTGTGCCGCCGCCATCTTGACTCACCTGAATCAATGAACCCTGTTACCTCAGAGGAGATCATGTAGCAGTGTGAGTGATTCAGAAGAATGAAAATGGCCTGATGAATATGCCTGTCAGAGGCCCCCTGCGGTTCCTCCTAACTGCCAGGAGAGCTCTGTCGCACCCTCAAGACACGTTAAACCGCCATCCAACAGTATTTACGATGAAACCCTCAACATCGCTGTACTCACTTTTTCCGTTGTGTGTGTGAATATTTCGCCGATCGTTTCTAAGATGTGCTGAGAAATGTGGAGAAGAAGCAGAAATGGGAAGGAATGGGGATGGGGTTGATCTTTGAGCATGAACAGGAGAATGTGGTTCTTCACTAGCATGCTGTTATGATGTGTTTGTGGTTTTAGGTCTGCTATAAGGGTCGGGGTTGTGTCCAGGGGCAAAGCTCCTCTACTTAATTTTATCTAAAACTGTTGCATTGTGAATGGGCTGAGGGTTGTCCGTTTATTTTTTGTTTTTTTGGGAGGGGGCCTTCTTTTACTGTTATGATGTAATCTTTTATTTCCAAATTGTGGTGTGAGCTGCAATGTTTTCTATCTGATTATGTATTAAATGCTACGAATTTTGACCTGATTGTTAAAAACCCGGGATTGTTAATGGAAGAACAACTAAATGTACCAACTTGTTATACACAAACATGACATGAGAAAAGTGACGCAGAACCAAATTGACACCACACAGTGATTATCCAAGCCTCGTATCAAGCCCTGAATGCTCAGAAATTAGTCACCAACACTTAATAATTAACTGACGTCTGTCCCACAGCCTACAAATGACCCTCCTCCCCTCTGTTCTGATGTTTCGAGGTGAATGGGATTTCATTTTTGTCAAACTACTGTTATTTTTATCGTCTTCTCCTCCCCAGTTCCCTGAGCTCTGATTGGTGGCAGCATCACTGAGGGATAAAAACCCAGCAGTTAATTACAGAAAACCACAAGAACCTCAGGAAAAACAACAAATACCAACAAACAAACAAACAAACAAACAAACAAACAAACAAACTTTTTTCCAGCTTAGTGAACCTGACCCCGGGGACTCTCACTTTTTGGCTTCAAAAGGACTGTTTACAATCTCTACCTTGATATGCACATGTGGATATTTGACGATCACTTGATGTTTTTTTTTTCTTGTTTATATTTTCTTTTTTTCTTATGGTTTGTAAATCTATTTAAAATCTGAAATAAAGATCTTTATTAGATATTGAGTGATTATTTTTTTATTTTATCGAGGTGTGGGATAAATGGTCAAGAGTTTATAGAGTCTCATTGTCCCTTTTCTGTGTTTTCTTATAGACACTGAAATGGCGTGAGTGAAATTAACTTGGGACTAACTCGGAGAGGTAAGACTTGTTTTTTAAACCTTTTAGTGAGGCTGTAGAGTGAGGAAAGTGCGTGATGAGAAGTGTACACAGTAGTCACCCTGCTGGACTCAGAGGGTGGTGGAGACTTTTAAAGGATTTCCTGATGCTTTCCGTGTTTTAATCTATTACAAGAGGGAATTTAGGAAATCACTTCTCTAAGTGGTTGACATGGTTTCTTTTTTCTTGTCTTCTCTTTGCTCCAGAAAATGTAAAGTCTTGGAAGACATGGTAAGCAGCAGTTCTGTATGTTCTGTGAGCTTCTGTTCATTACTGCTTCAGTATTTAATGTGGAGCTGCTTTGTGTGCTGCTTTCATGTGTTTCTGTGTGACTGTTGGATGTTCAGGTGTTGCTCTAGACATAAAGGCTTTCCTCTGTGCTGTAGGCACAAGTTTTCACTCAGTGTCATAAAATGGTCGTACATTATGGGAATTTGTGAATTTTTGATCATATGATGTACAGAGTGCAAGATTATCGTACATCTGGCAACACTGCATGAAATAAATTATTTTTTTCTTTGCCTGTAATACACGAAGAGTTAAAGAAGTCTTTTGTCTGAAATTGGGGAGATGGTAAATGGATTATCTCAACAGCATTTAAACATTAATAACTAAAGTTCAGTAGATACTCAAAGCAGTGGTTCCCAACCTTTTCCTTAAGGGACCCCTTTTCTATTATTGAGTAAATTGACAACCCCTGACTAAGTGACATATTTAATTGATATTTTATCGGAGATTTTAAGGGGGGGCTATCTCAACTGACACTGGGCTAGAGGAGGGGTACACCCTATCTATCACAGGGTATCACAGGGCTGACACAGAGACAGACAACCATTCACGCTCACGTTCACACCTACGGGGAATTTAGAGTCACCAATTAACCTGCATGTCTTTGGACTGTGGGAGGAAGCAGGAGTACCTGGAGAAAGCAGATTTTGTTTTACAGAAGGGCTCCCTCCCCCTGGGTTTGAATCAGGAACCTTCTTGCTGTGAGGCGACGATGCTAACCACTGCACCACCGTGCCTTAAACTGTATAACCAACCCAAATAGTTAACACAGTAACTGCAGGAAGTTTGGATGAATTTTTGTAGATTACTTCCTGTGGATTTTGAATCAGAGATGAGGTTTCCTGATATTATAAGGAACTTTCAATATGATTCTCAGTCTATATTATGTTTTTTTTTTTTTTTTAAACAATCGTACATACTTAGTACGCTCCTTTTTTCACAAAATCACTGTCTCCTTCTCCTTGACGATTGGCCATTTTCTAATGCAGGACGAGGCTGTTTAACAGAAAGTGAAGGCTTTGTGACTTTAGCTTGTGTTCAGGACTTCGCTGTGTCCTTATCCTGTGACAGGTTTTTTTTTTTAGTTTATCTCCTAAATGATCTTAACTTTAAAAACAACAATCTCATATAGTTTTCTTCACAGAATTATATCAAATGGTAGGACACAGACTCGCTGTGCATCTTTTAAAAAAAGTTTTCCAACATCCCTTAAAATCAAGAAGGCCTCACAACCCCCACGTGAAGCTTTAGGGAGTCCTTATGGGGGTTTGGACCCCTAGATTGGGAACCAGTGACTTGAAGTGATTGTTTAACGCCCATAAATGCAGCTGCTTCTACTTTAAATAGTATAAAATGTAGAAATACTTGATTCCCTTTTCATTCAGGTTGTTTCATCTTCTTTCTTCTTGCATGTCACAATTTCCGCAGTTTTTATGTGGAGAAATTTATGAGAAGCAAGTCGCAGGAAACAGACTTAAATCTAAAAAACGTAAAAATTGCTGTTGACACTAAAAGTACAAACCGCCCTCTGTCTGACATATTTCCTGTGCCTGTGCAACTTTACCAGACACAGAAAGGAGTGTTTTGTTTCACTTTGAGATTACGTGTTCGTAGATCTTATTGGGCAATGCAGCCATTTTCAAAAAAAGTAATAAAGGTTCCTGTCACCGTCTCCTCTTACAGATGCTCTCAGGACTGATTGTGATCCTGCAAGAAAACTGAGGTAAGGCTTTGTTCTTGCCTGAGTACCTGCACAAACACCAGAGTACAATAACTTTGTCTTAGTGGAGACAAATGAGCTCATATGAACTGTTTTTCCTCAGCTTTAATTTTTTGAGTGTGAGAACAGCTGTTTGTACATATTCATATTGTGACCTCATGCCTCTAGGGGGCAGCAGCTGCTTGTTCGATGACACATTTGAGCCTTTTGTCTGCAGCCTCAGTGACCAGTAAGATATCAGATTTAAGAGTCTAAACATTCTCACACATAACTGTATGTTTATAGCTAAAGTTTTTTTTTATGTATAGCAGTTTGATAAAAGTGTGTGTTTGTCTTGTTTTGTCAGCTCAAACTGTGATGCTTCAATCAAAGCCTCAAGCTGGAGCCTGCAGTGTTTACCTGCCTTTGTTCTCCAGTAGGTGGCGCTGCCATTCCCTTAAATACACAGAGAGTGAGTAAAGGGGCCATGTATTTCACCCTCTCATCTCAAAGTGCCAAAGTGTCCTCTGGTTATTTCCACTTCTCCAGTCACCCACTGTGACGCTGTAAGTTGACTGCCTGTATAACCCACATGCTGTGACCTTATATTCTGCTCCTACACATGATTTTAATGTTTATTATCTTGGCTTTCTTCCTGTTGAAGTTGAGCCCACCTATGGCTGCAGCCTAATCTAGAAAATGAAAGTCATCAATCCTCCATCAAGGGAGTTACACCTAGAAATGTGCATTACACAGGTGTGTGCTTGTGTCTTAGGCCAGCTGTGTGCACCCTTTTACCAACTCTGTCTTGAGCTCCCAGGTCATCCAATCCGTCTCCCTCCACACTGGTATTCCGACTCCATCAAATTTGTTTCCCGTGACGACAGGCCTGACATTTTGCCCTGTATGTGTCCGATCTAAATGCCAGTTCGGCAGACCAGAATAAGGAAGCCTGTGAAATGATCCTGGCATTTGCAGCGCTGCTTCCCTCTGTGGTCTCGTTCATACTTTGCTCAGTGAAAAGGATAACACTGTTTCAACTGCGGGGTGTAAACCTGGATCACAGCCAGATGTTACAACCCCACAGCCCTCTCTCTCGGTGGGTTCACACCGTGACCTCGTCCCCCTGCTCCAGCTGGCAGTTTGGCAGCAGATCTCCAGGCTTCTGCCGACTCAGAGCCCTCGGTGACCTGCGGAGAGCTGGACATCCCGAGGTACGGGCGAACTGGGTGAACTGTAACAGACCGGAGAGGTGAGGAAATGTGAGATGAGAGGAGGAGAGGAGTTAGTGATGGAAGGGTGGGGGAGGAGGAGAGTGGGGGTTGATCCATGTGTCAGGATATGAGGTGTCTCCAAGGCAACAGAAGTTGTGTGGAAGTGGGTTGGCAGGAAGAAGAAAGATGGATGGCAACAATAGAGACAGTGGGGTAAAAACGGACCCTATGACGCGTCGACCATAATGAGTGACCGTGTGTTACAGTAAGAGTCACAAACACACACACACACTGTAAAGCGGAACAAGTGGTCAAAATCTGGAGGCGCAGCAGACCTCCTGCAGAGCTCAGTCTGACAGCCTCGTTTCTACGTACTTGCCTCAATTCATACTTCCTGTCCTTCCAGGAAGCCATTTCACAGGATACCCAGCAGTCGGCCTGTATTAGTTAGATTAGCTCCACCTCCACAAGCTGCAATGTTAAAGTGATGCATCAGTTATTACTTCACTGAAAGTACAAAGGTATAAAGTTAAAAAGGTAAAAATAACCTACTCATTATGAAGAACGGCCCATTTCACAATTACATATAGTATATTATTGGATTATGTATTTTTATTTGGCAGCTTTTATGTCCATTAATGTGTTCATCACTTAAATGTAGCAGCGGGTAGAGATGGAGCTAGTTTTAATTATAATGAAATATACACATCGAGTTTTACATATTGCTGTGTGGCTTGTGAATTTCTCCTTGAAGACCAATGAAGCTTATTGACATAATAATATCATAATTTATCAATTAATTAAATTTTGTGATGTTATTCCGGGTCTGTTAAGTAACTAGGAACTAAAGCTTATTGATAAATGTACTGGAGTAAAAGTATAAAGTAGCAGAAAATAGCCAGACTCCGTTGACGTAAACAGTAATTTTACCTCGCTAACTTGATCTGTTAGTTTGTTTTGCCCTGTTTCCACCAAACACTTTCAGTATGGTACCTTTGGAACCAACAGTAACCCTTCAGACATGGTACCTAGACCCTAGCGTTTCCACTGCAAACAGTACCCTTAAATGTGGGCGGGGTTGTTGTCACTCACTGCTCCGTCCAGCACTCACTGTATTTCCTCATTATGAGTGACACAGATGGGAGTCTGCACCTCGTTCATCGTCCACAGAACGAGACTGCACGCCGACATTTTCAGAACAAAATAAAACAGGCTGCAGTGAGAGTCTCTCCTCATGGGATATTTACAAATAGCAGGTTTGTGCATTTAGTCCTTCTCAGGCAAGCTCAGGGGTTTAGTGTTGCCGGAGCCCACAGGAACGACAGTCTCAGCTTTTTAAGAAGATTTTCAACACGAGGTTTAAAAGAAAGACTGCCATCAAGCCAAATACCGAGATATTTAAAACTGGAGACAACTTCTAACTTCTTTCCCTGAGCAGAAATAA